ATTTTAGTTATATTGAATTTTTATTTAACCCAGACTAATATTATAAAAACAAGAAAATTCTTGAAAAAATATATTATTATTAGTTATAAAATATTCATGCCAAAAAACACTTGTATTGGTGAATTCGTCAGTTCCATGCTAAATCAGTCTAATTAGGATTTGATTGATGATTAATAACACATTTTAATTGTCATTTCTAAAAAATATTTTAATACTTCATGGTTCTAGATATAGGTGTGCATCATAATGATGAAGAAGAAGATAGTAGTCATAGCCCACACCATTTTATGGAAGAAGAAGAACATGAAGGTAAATATGTTTGTTAGGGTTAACCATATGATATTGGATATGTTTTTGGTCTTTATATTATGAGACTTGATTTTTTTACTTTTTACTAAATTATTATTGAATTGAAATGATTCCTTGTTAGTGTTTAAAAAAAAGAAGCAAAATCTAGCTAAGATTCTCTTCTGGGTTGGCAATTAAATATTTATCATTCATTTAGATTCAAGACAATATGGCTTGATAAAAATCGTAATATAAAGAAGGATCCAAAAATATCGAGACCCATCAATTTGAGTTTTAGCAATCTCAGCATACAAGAGCTCCCTTTACATGGGTCTGTTGCACTGTAATAACTGATGCTGTTGATGAAAATATAATTTATTCTTCAGGACTTTTTTATTACAATATTTTCATACACCACTAAAAAGATGAAAAATTATAAAATAATTTACCAGAAAAGCTCAATACACATCACTTAAAATTCAAAATGGAATCGTATCCATTGTGGCAGAAATGATGTTGAAATCTATATCAACAAATTATATTTTAAGAAAGTGAGATGCTGCATTTTTTTTGTCTTAAGGCTGTTGAGACAAAAGATGTAGCAGTTTCGTATTTTTTTATGAAACGAGAATTTAATAGGAGTTATTTATTAGAAAATCTTTCTGCTTACAAGATTATACATTTTTAAATCATAAGTTGCATCTTGTTTATAATTCGAATAACAATATTCCTATAATTTTAATTGCAGCATGATATAATGCTTTTTAGGAGTTTTAACGTATTCTATAAATATAGATGATTATGCTCTTAAGAGACTTTAAACCTTAAACCAGAGGAGTGATCAATAAACATTCGTTTCATTTATGAGAATTTTGAAGCTATTTGTGAAGTATTAATTTACTTTTTATTTTACTTTTCTAATACTCTTAACTTGGAAGTTACCACTCATGAGTTAATAAATTATATTTTATTGGTTGTTATAATTTATGAATTATTAATAATTGATCTATTAAATAAGTATCTTCATTCAGTAGATAAATATAGTGGATGTTAATGTGTTGCCTTCACAAAAGAGATGAAAATTCTATTAGACTAGGGGCTGAAAATCTTAATCTGACCCCCCCCCCCGTAATATTCTGGAAGTTTCGTAAAACGCCTAAAAACCTTTATAATTTTTTGGCTAATGCCAAATTAAAATTTGATTATGAAAAGGACTCTAATCGGAGTTCTTTGAAAGTAGAAATAATTGATTATTTTGTTGAACGTTTTTAAAGATTTACTAACTATTATTATAACCTTGTATTTTTCAATTTTAATACTGAAACATTACATCATGAAATAAAATCACAAAAGAATTATTAGCGGCGGAAGTAGCAAGAAAGACATGAGTTTGAAAATATTATTCAATAGCTATTATGGTATCACAGCTTCTTATGAGGCCTCATTCACTACCAAGAAGGTTTTATCGAGCACCAGAGAATCGTTGAATGACACGCGAAACAAAATTTAGTTTCTAATGGCTTATGGGGAAAAAATAACCTAAAATTTAGCTTTTAAAATTCATTTATGTTAAAATTTAAAAATAAAAATCGCCGTATTATCTTATATTATTTTGTTATGTTTACATAACTATTTGCATTTACAAATTTTTCGATAATAATAGAAAAATTTCTATGAGTGTCTGACAATTTTTTTTTCAAGACAATATTGGCCTCCTCAAATAAACAGTTGCCCCTTCCCCCCGCCAAACTGAAAATTCTTGGCTACGGGCCTGTTTGGGAAGGGATGCTTCAATTTTTTAAATTCAATATTCTTGAATAATTATTTTCATTTCCTTTATTATATTTATGGTCCTTTAAGGGCTTGTTTATTTCCTTTCGTATTTTAAATAAATTACAGGTATAACAGTTTTATTTAAGGTTGGTACTTCATCTAAATGATCACTTATTTTAAAAAAAATTATAGTAAATTGCCCAAAAGCCGATTGAATTAAAATTAGGTATAAGTTTATCTTAAAGAATCTTTTAAATAGCTACTATTTTTACTTATAAATTATACCGACAAAATAAAAATATGAATACCTTTAATAAAGTTCAGTTATATCATGCATTTAGCAAAATAACAAAATCTAATTGTACATAGCCTAAAAAGGTAAATATGGTAATGGTAGCTCGGAGAGATAGAGATATGCTGAAAACCCTCTAACTCATCACTCTGAGGCGCCCTTTTCTTTATGACTAAAAAAATTGATTTGAGAAGCTCTCTGGTACCCTAATATTACGATGCGATTGCGTCGTACCCCCTCCTTGTTAGGCTGGAGATATAAACTAGAGACAAGCGCAGGACTAAACCTGTTAAAAAAATTACAATCCATATTATTTTTATTAGAAAGGAAAAGGCATAAATATGCTCAAGTTAATAAGCCTAGAAACCAAATTACTCCGACCTGTAAAAATATTTTTGGCAGATTATCCGCCAATCTTATTGGGCTTCGGGCCTGGTATACGGAGTGAGGCGCAGTTGGTTTGTGGTCTGATTGTCTTAAAAATGGCGAATTCGATCTCAATGGCGCTGCTTGTCAAAGAAAGTGGGCTAAGCTTTTAAAGCGCGAGTTAATTTTATTTTCACTTTCTTCAAAAAGTTGATCTATATTTTCAACAATAACAATGAGTTAATAGTTATCGACTAAAATAGGTTGAGCACAATCCTAATAATAAATTGAATTGACTATTCAATTATCAAAAGTATACAACTGTACATCTGCGGTCAGACAAACATCTAAAAAAAATTTATTTGGGCCGGGCGGTCACAAAGTAGAAAGGCTTGGCGCGCTTAATTGTGAATAGAAAAAAAAGTTAAGATAAATATATTTTATTTTGCTTGTAATTTTAATGAATAAATGACCTGCTAATATGGTCATTTATTCATAGAAAACGATTTCCTTTCCCTTTTCCTACATTTTGTGTTTATTGTTATAATTAGAAAATCATCATTATTGGTTATTTTTTTTATAGGAATATTTCTGGATTTAAAAAAACCGAGCCCGGTTCAAATTTTGACGGATGAGGTAAAAACAAAATGACAATCGGGCTGACCCCTAAAATTTTGCCATTTGCAAACTTTTAACACACATTAAAGTTATAGTCGATTCTAAACACCAATTGGCGGACGTCAATGAATGTGCTACCCAATTAAATAAAACATCATTCTAGGTTAGTATTGATGTTACAGGTTTGCCCATAAAATATAAACATTATCCGACTATGGTTACAATTACAATTGAAAATAATTATTTTAAAGTTCTCTTATGTCAATTAATCCATCCATATTTAAATAAATTTAAAAATCAAAATAAAGATTTTTTAAAGTACAATTTTCCTTTATATATTAATTCGTTTGAAAAAAAACAAGAATAAATATCCGATTACGGAGCCACGTGCATCCCCTCTAGAGTTTTTTTATATTCGTATTTAATATACGGCATGATGTTTTTAATATCAGATTACGCCAATCACACATTTTTAAACCCAGCCTCCCGTTTTAAAATATGTCAGTGTAAATAATTTTGCATTTTTTTTTTCAAAGGGAAATTTAAAATAATAGCAGCATAAATGAATACTATAAGCTCAATTTATACTTTCTCCCAACTTGAATAATTGAAATTTTTTTTAAAAAAATTTTTAAATAGCCTAGCGCGGGTTTTCGGACGGGATTTCAGTTGGGCCCGTTTTATATCGATCCAAAATTTTAAAAAATCCCCCCTAATGGATATATTATAACTTTTGTGGTTAAAAGAACGGCCATTTTAACTTTTAATTACAGTGTTGCGCAGTGGGAAATATGTCCATATATTTTATATTTATTTGCAAATAACATTTTTAAACTTGCAATTGTATATCAAAGGTTATTATTTATTTATAAAAGTAATAATTTATTTTTTAAGAATATAACACGGTAAATAAAAGCGTGGGTTAGAGGTCATTCCTGGATAACTATCTTTTAAGCTGCGTTTAAAACGTTTTCATTAAAAGATAGGTTGTGCAAATTCTTTTTGCGTTTTTTTAAGCAGGGTTAAAGAAGTGAACAAGGATGAGGCCTTAAACTTGAGGGTTGGGGGGGGGACTAAAAATCTACCTAGAATTCGGTAACAAAGGGTGTTTTTACAATTACCTATTATTAATTATACCGTAATCACCATTGCAAGACCTCGTAAGCAACATTTTTTTCAAAATATGTTTTTTTGGATAAATGGGTTCATCTATTAGCCATCTATTATCTCTCATAAAATCGTGTCTCAATAATCAATAAAAACTAGTTTTTTTAATCAAATAACATTCAAACAAAAAAAACGAGCATCAAAATCTCGTAAATGATATTTTTCAATCTCGTAATCGATATTTTTCACATTTTTCCCCAAAAATTGTAAATCAAATTTTTAACGTTATCAAAACCTCGTAACTAATCAATAGAAACTCGAGTGGCATAGGGGTTCGCATATGTGAAAATGTTATTTTTTAAAAACTAATGAAGAAGTATTATTATATAAAATTAAAAATTCATGAATAAATATAATAATTTATGATTATAATAAATAACATTTAAAATATTTTTTGTCTTTCCTGAACAATTTTAAAAATGCTACTTTACGAGGCAGTGGTGACGACGTTACATATTTTGAAAATTAATTGATATTTATTCCATTTTTATTTTAGTTAAAGAATTTTTGGAAAAGGCCAACAAAGAATTCAAAGAAAGATGGGAGAACCCTACTCCGGTATTGATTATACATAACTTTATTTAGCCTGCCCGGGCATTTTTTGCTAAAGGTAATTTCTTAGAACGATTCAATATTAATTCAACTATGGGTGTGTCTTGATTTTTCATACTTATTTCTGTTTAGCCTAGGGCTAGACACTTTTGATCACACCCTATTTTAGTTTGTTTTAAATGTTCGATGGCATCGTTAGTATTTTTTTCTTACTTTTTTAAGATATTTATGTGGAAGCTATATAGCCAGCTGTTTAATAATAAGTCGAATCAGGACGCACCCTGTTTATTTTCTTTTATTGTCGAGAAACGAAATTTCTATAATTTCGTAGTAATTAAATATAATTTTATAATAAATAAAAAAGTGTGTTATAATTATACTTAAGACAATTCCTCCCAATCAGAATTGGAATTTATCCTCCCCTAATGCATCCTCTAATTCGGAGTTTGTGATCAATAATTCCATTCAATCTCCAAATTTTTTTACAAAAATTGCAAGACGTTATTGTATCTCTCTCTCTCTCACTATCTCCAACCGGCGGACGTTGTCCCTGAAACTGTCTTCGGTTAACCCTGTTTCTTTTACCTCCAATATATCAATCAAAGGTCACGTACTTTCTTCTATTTCAACTCTTCCTAACACCGCTACCTTCCATCCACCAAATTGTGGATCCCTATTTCTTCCTTCTAATCATTTCATCTAGCAAATGCTCCAGTATTTATCATATATCCCATCACAGAATAGCTATTCCTCTATTAAATAGCATGGATACAATGCTCCCGTTTAAATTTATCTACACTCTAGGACAGGGGTCATGTATCACCTCATCCTGTACCATATTTATATATCTGAAGAACAACGTCCCCGATCCGAAGACAGTTTCTGGGAGACCTCGACGCCCCTGGATAGTGCGGAAGAGACAGATGCGTCTAGCAATTTTTATAGAAGAACTTGGAGATTGGATGGAATTAATGATGACTGCTCCATTAGAGGATGAATTCTAATTCTGATTGGGCGGAGTTGTCATAAGTAATTAAACGATAGTATTTTTAGCGTAATTTAGATTTTTGTTTTTTAGGATTATTGTTTATAAATTTTTTGAGTAAGAATTTAATCGATATAATTTTTATAAAATATAATTTGGATTTGTTTTCTTTTAAATTATTGTTTATAGAAAAAATAAATACCTTACGCATGTCATATAACACATTTTTAATCCACTATTGGTATTGTTAAACGGCAACTCAATATTCTAGCTAATAAATAATTACGCAAGCCTGGAGATTTTGCTGGTACGAAGGTTTGGACATCTATTAACGAAATATCGAGGCTCGCATGATAATATTTTGGCTAAAATCTTAACTTAAACTCAGGAAAATCGAGCTTTTTTTCAACACTATTCCACCTTGATTAGGTTTTATTTCTGCATACAAATATAAAAGAAACAGTCTACATTTAAACAACAAAGGAAAATCATTTTTGTACCTTAGCGTGACAAATAATCTAGCTCAAATATTCATATCGAAATTTGGTCGGTCATGATTTATCTCATAAATTTATGCAAGATTAATATATGCAATTCCCTCCCCCCCCCCTCTTTTCCTCTTTGTAATAGTTAAATCCGGTATGGTACAGGCCTACGGATCTCTGGCAATATCAATATTATTTGTAAACATCCGTGAAATTCACACTTTGACTGAGAATTTAATTGTTAGATAGAACGATTCTAAACTCGTCTGACGATATTCTTAAACACGTATATATTTGATGGTGTCCAGGAAGTTGAGTTGAATGGGAAAAATAACATCCAACATAAAAAGTTGTGTTTTTTTTCAACCTATTCTATACTAACTTATTGTAAATGAGTGTCCTAGTATTTCGAATATTTTTAATATATCCGTCAATCAATAATATTTCTTATTGTTGATTGGTCGGAGATTAAACAATCAATGTGTTATAATAAATAAAAAATAATAATTAATATTTTTTTTACTTATGATATTTTCGGCACCAATTCCTAGACCTCACTTTTCTTACTCCAATTCTTAATATCTTTATTCTAAATTCTAATAATTCTTTGCTATTTAAATTTAGTGTCACAAAAATTAATATCAAATCCTTTTATTTTTAAAATTATAAAAATATACGAATCACAAAAATGCAATAATTCAAAATAATTTTATCAAAAACTTACAATTTCTCGATAATGAATTTTTTATATTACAAAAATATCATAAGTAAAAAAAAATATAATAATTATTATTTATTATAACATAATATCTAATTTTCGACCAATCAACAATAAGCAATATTATTGATTAACGGATATATTAAAAATATTGCAAATTTACAAATATTGGGACAGTAAGTAGAGAGTTATTTTTAAATGTTTTTGTTTCAATATGTGAATTTTTTTGCTAATATGATAGAGCACATCCTGTTTGGATGATTTCGATCGGCTGAAAACCTTGGGAACGGGCTCATTCGGGAGAGTCATGTTAGTCTTAAACAAGAAGAATCGAGAATATTTTGCAATGAAAATATTGGACAAGCAAAAGGTTAACTAGTTATTTAATATTATATTTACTACGGGTGGATTATAGGTCTGCAGGTCGGGTAACGTTTGAAAAAAATTATTGGCTGAGTTATTAATTTTGATATTTGATATAAGTGATTGATAATTTATAAAATGTAGTGTTTTTAAATTTAACCAATCCCCAATATTATAAATAGTTGTTCATTTTGGTATTCAACTAAATATTTTTCGGGCGAAGCTTTGTATTTAATAAAAAAACTGGATCGACCTTAGTAAAAAAAAATGGAAACGGGCTGGGTAAACTTGACGTTCCAAACGATCTGAGCCGGGCCTGAAAATGTGGCATTTTGCAAACCAGGAGGGATCATGTTTGATCACTTTTCTCTATCCGCATATCAGGCAGATGATTTCACTATATTTATGTCCCTTATTTGAAACATACAAAAATATCCTAAAACATTTTGAATTTTCAAAATAACTATTTATAAATATTTCTGAATTGATATAAAAATCAGTATAACTATGGCATCTCATAAATTAAATATAAATTAACCTTTACCCTAATATTGATATATAATTGTTTCAACTTATATTAGAATAAATATTCGTCACGGTATTGTGACAATCGCTAAATTGTTCGGCCGATCCTCGGATTGAGTTCGAACCCGACCTGAGCAGACTCGATGAGCCGCATTAGTCGATCCATCGAGTCGGTGGAATGGTTTGTCATATAAAGATATTACCGACTAATATGTTTTACGAGCCAAGTTAGACGTTTTTAAAGTCAGGAAGGAGTTTGTAGTAAGAAATTCGCTCTTCTATTATTTTTACTCCAAGAAATTAATAAATTTAAAAAATTTGTGGCTCATCCACTGTGGTGGGCTATTTTTTTGAATAGGTTCGGAATCTATAAAACCCTCGCTTTTTAAAGCATGTTTACATACCTATAATTTAATAAATAGTCTTATTAATTAATTGTTTATTTTTCAATAAAACATCTTATTATCCCTTCTGCCAAGTTTATAAAATAAATAAAATTTATAAATTAGCCAACGCCGGAAATAGCGGACAAAATTTAATTTTAATTTTTTTCATATGACCTCATCACCTGATTTTAAATTTTATGTACATTCTATTATGTTAGGTACTCAAATTGAAACAAGTAGAACATACGCTAAATGAAAAACGTATATTACAAGCAATAAACTTTCCTTTCCTTGTCAAACTCGAATACAGTTTTAAAGTAACGTATGTTGATAAATTCTTAACTTAAAAATCTCAACTTTTTGGAAAATATAAATGATCAGAGTAGAGATTTACAGCTTCGATAATTTTCTAAAAACCAGAACTGGAACCCGATTACAAATTTCCAGTATCCAAAACCGATTCTAATAAGAGTGCAACTAGTTTATTTATATATGTTTGTGATTCAAAGGATTGCTTCATTTTCAAACAACACCAAGTGTAATATTATTAATAATTAGCCTATCCTATTTTTTTTTACTCCACTTTTAATATTTTGATATAATAATTTTTAAATTAATCATTATTTAGTTTGCGATTTTGTTGCTTATTTATAATATATTTTTTATTTGTAATAGGATAACTCCAATTTATATATGGTACTCGAATTCGTTACAGGCGGAGAAATGTTTTCGCATTTAAGGAGAATTGGACGCTTCAGGTTTATAAACGTTTTTTATTGAAATCAATAAAAAATTTAGTCATCTTAATTTATTTTTTAAAATATATATAGTGGCTTCGTGATCTCTTGTCATTTAAAACCGTCCTAGTTCAATTTTTTTGTCCGCGCTGCTTTTAATTAACACTCTCGAAAATAAGGCGATGTTAAAGATAGGAGAAAATTCACGCAGATTTATGTTGACAAATTATTTAATGTCAACTATTGAACGCCGATATAATATTTTTATAATAGTAAGAATCTCTTACCACCACTAATTCGCTCCTCTTAGATAAATTGCGTTAGCGTAAAGAAAAGTTGCCTAAAAAGATTGATCTAGGATAACAAGGATAAAAATCGTTATGAGCGCCTTTTTTAAAAAAGATCTCGTTTCTCATATGATGAAAAATTATGCAAAATGCTTTTTTTCCAGCTAACATTTGTGTACCTTAAAAAATGGTGATTTAAAGTCTAAAATTTTTTTATTTATGAATTAAAACAGGGAATCACAATGTAATTTCTACGCCGCTCAGGTGGTTTTATCCTTCGAATATTTACACTCTTTAGACATTTTGTATCGAGATTTGAAACCCGAAAATATCATGATCGATCTTACAGGATATCTAAAAGTTAACCATTTTCTCCTTCATATTTTTTTTTATTTTTTGGAGGGATTAATAGGAACCTTGATTGTTAATAAAAACCTCGATTTAACCGATTTTTAAAACATAGCCATATTTAGATCAAACAAATAGTATCGAGATTTTGCATATAGATGGCAAAAAGGTTTGGCTCTCTTTTGACCAAATCGGCCTTGTTTAGAATTTAAAAGGTTTTTAATAAAAATAGTAATCTTTTATTATTTCAATTGTAATATTTTATTCATTCATTTGAAATTATAAAAATCCCTCGTCCTCAACCCTTAAAACAAACAAAAGATTACAGATTTTGGGTTTGCCAAAAGAGTGAAAGGTAGAACATGGACCCTTTGTGGTACACCCGAGTATTTGGCACCAGAAATTATCCTTAGCAAAGTATGTAAACTTCTTTAGATTCAATTCTTTTTTATTCCAGTTATTTCTTACTTCATTTTTCTGGTCACATAGTCCCTTTTTCAAACAAAATCTGTGTAATTTGGGCACCATATGGATTAAGATTTTTAACTAACTTAGAGAGTTGTCCAGAGTACTTATCAAAACTAATAGTAGTTTATCGGTTATTGAGACTTAAAATTTTGGTTAAGATAAGGACTTACCCAAATTGGACAAGCTTTACTGTACTGTCCTTATTCAATGCTAATTGAACGACAGGATAATTTTGCTAAACCGCCTAAATTTGACCAGCTCCATTGCGGCTTAGCCAAACATTTTGCCTAAAAAAAATTGGCCAAGCATCTGAGTTGAGTTTCATCTTGAAAATTTCTTTCTTTCTTTAAGATAATTTATAATATTCATTTTATTAGTATTTTATTTACTTGAAACTGACAGCTAATTAATTAATCTTTTTTAAAAATATAAAACTACAACAGCATTATATAAATGTTAACAAAAAATATATAACAAACCAATTTTAATACCCCCCCCCCTTCAGTAAAATCCGCTTTCATCATCTCCCTCTCAGTGATTAAGGCATCTCTTTATCAGTCAAACTTATCTCCTTAATATATATTAGTTCGTTTTTTGGCGCTTCGATTATTTTTTTTACATTTAATTAATAGTTATATTTTGTAATTTATAAAATTAATAATATAATCGTTTTTAGTGGATAAAAATAATTCATGTAGTTGGTTTATCTTGTGCATTTTATTAATATTATATTAAGAAGTAAAATAAATAGATTTTAAAATAAATTTCATTTAAATTTATCCTAGAAAAAAATAAACGAAATGGATTATAATTTATAATTAGCACATTCATTTTTTTAAAAAAAAAGAGAATTTTATCCATCTTATTCTTCGTTTAGTGGCCATTTTCTGGATTCATTTATTTAGGCCACTACTTTCATTTAAATTATCCTTGGTTGCCCTCTGAGTGGTCTTTGTTGTTACTCTTCGTAGAAGGTAGTGGAGCACGTTTTTCACTATCTGGTGTTCTTCCATATCATTGACCTCTTTCCCTTAACTTTTACAACCCGTTAAAGAAACGATTATCCTCCTATACTATCACAATAAAATCTTTTAACTCCGTTAGACGTTTTAAGACGTTGCTTTTCCACCCCGTCAAAAAAAAAAGGATTTTTTGGGAGGGTTTTATCGTTGCGTACTAATAAACGAAAAGTGTTGAAACATTAAAATATTTAAGAAATGAAATTAAAGTGTTATAGATATACGTATACATTTAACATCGTCATTTAATTATTATAGAAGAGCACAGAACTAATGTTGTTAAAAAGAACGATTTACCTATTTTTAAAAACGGCCTAATTAAAATTTCGCTAAAATAATATTATATAAGCCTGGAAAAGTTGCTCATAGATGACAGAAAGGAGCTATATTTGCCAAATCTCGAGGCTTTAATATTATTTTGGCTAAAATCTTAATCGGGTCTTTTTCAAAAGTCTGGCTTTTTAACACCAGGACATAAGAAACAATATATTTATATTATCTTATATTACCTATACAATAGGGTTACAACAAAGCTGTTGATTGGTGGGCATTCGGTGTTTTGGTATATGAAATGGCGGCTGGATACCCTCCATTTTTCGCTGATCAACCTATTCAAATATACGAAAAAATTGTCGCTGGAAAAGTAATAATAATATTTTCTAATCAAATGTCCAAAGCAGGCATGTACCAAAATTTTTATCGAATCGGGCCGATTTTTAGCCTTTTTAAAAATATCGGCCGATATTATTAAATTTACCGATTAGAACCGATAAAATGGTGTCTTAGTTTAAATTTATAAATATTTAAGAAAATATATATTTATTTTTAAAAAATTGTATATAATCTTAAAACTTTATAAATAATTTAACACAATTCTAACAATTTATATTGATCATGGATAAACTAGATGGGATTCTAATTTTTACACGATAGAAATGCTCTTGGAGCAAAAATAGATTAGGATTTTTACAATAAATGAATTGATTTAGAAGTATACATACTTTTACATTGATAAATACATATGAATAAATAAGCCGAAATGATAACCTTAAATTAAAATTGTAATAATTTGTATATTTTTTAAGTGACTTATGTTATGGTATAAAAAATAAAACATTAAATATATATAATAACGAACATAATCAGATTAATTATATCGGCTCGGATCAGCCCCAAAAAGTGGTTCAATACCTATTCAAAGCTTTTTTGTATTTTACTTTTCATTAGCAATCACTTGTTTAGATTTAGATGCAATTTTCTCAACAAAATACTTATTACTCAAAACAAGATTATTATGATTTATAAGAAACGTGAGATAAAAACTCAGTTACGGTGTTGAATAGGTTTTTTTCTGGTTTTTGATTATTCAAATTTGATATTAGATTAGAAATACATTTTTGCAAAAATAAAATCATAATATATTTTTTAAAAAATATTAATTTTACTCAATCAGGTCCGGTTTCCATCTCATTTTAGTTCTGACCTCAAAGATTTACTGAGAAATTTGTTGCAGGTCGATCTCACCAAACGCTACGGTAACATGAAAAATGGCGTCACCGACATTAAAATTCATAAATGGTTTGCTACCACCGATTGGATCGCCATTTATCAGAAAAAAGTTAGACGATAAATTTTATTGTAATTGTCTGTACAAATGTTCGGAAAATATTCATTTGGTGAGTAAGAATGAACTTTTAACGAGTAATAACAATATTTTGAATATTATCCTTTTATTGAAGCTGATTGCTAATGCTAAATAATGGAATACTAATCAGTATTATGCTGAAACCGGACAGTAGCCGACATGATCTACTTAGGACCGCGAATTAGTCTGATCTTTGGGCATTCGTACGGTTCGTAACGAAGTTTATGATAGATTTTTTTAAAGCAGATAGTTCGTTTTATCAATGAACGGTAACTGCTAAAAAAAACAATAAAGGGAACAATGAGCCACTTTAGGTCGGTCTCTCTTAAACGCTCGTAAAAAATGTTCTGTCGCAAGTGTAAATTGATTATTTTTTAGAGCAAGGACTCGTTTTAAGTGATAAATTTATTAACATTTAAGCGGTTTTATTGCAAGAAGGTAACCTGGAACGACTCCTTAAAAGTGGTTTAAAATTTTTACGATTATAATGAAAAATCTATTTAAAATTTTTTAAAGATCGAAGCTCCATTCATCCCCAAGAACAAAGGTCCAGGTGACGCGAGTAATTTTGACGATTACGATGAAGAACCCCTACGGGTATCCACATCTGAAAAATGTACCAAAGAATTCAACGAGTTTTAAAATGACACGATAGCATCGCGATTGTGATTTAAAAATAAAATCAATAAACACCTTTAAAAATTTAAAAAAAACGTGCATAAAATTACTTTTTAGCAAAAAATAATTACTAAAATATGCCGCTGTTTGAAACACCCGTCTATCAAAGTTATTTTTCCTTACTCACTACGTACAATATCTAATTGCTGATAAATTTAAAAACTCAACGTAATTCAGAACTGATTTGTCTTGTAATATGTTGCAACCATTCAGGATATATAATACGAAACATTTTCTGGTATTTTTTATTAAACAATAAGACTTGTTAAATTTAAGTATCTCTAAAGTTAGGCGGCTTGATATTTTTGTTTTAAAAATATCGGAGTTATAGAGCGTGGTGCTTTTCCAACAAATGTATTCCAATCAGATCAATTATTTTCTTATATTGTTTGTATTCTTCCTATTACATTTAATTCTCGCTAAAATTTAATTCCCTTAGGTTTTTTTGTGGTCACTCTGTCACACGATGTTACTAGAAATTCAAAATTAATATATTTTTTAAATAAAAAAAAATTGTTTTGAAAATATGACATGTTCATAAATTTCAAGAAGGCTCTATTATTTCATAGTTTCAAAATTTAAAATTCGTAAATTAGCCATATATAATATATATATATTTATCAAACATTATTATTTATAGACATTATTTTTATTTTTTTATTTATTTATGTATTATATTATTATTATGTATGACTTAGTAATAGTTTTTCTTATTTAAATCTTTCGAAAATTATTGACTATATTTTAACTTTCATTATTGCTCTATTCCCTTTTTAGACTTTGAAAATTCTTTAGGTAAATTTTTTTTAGTGTATGTTCCAATATATATATTTTTATAGCCTGAGAATTCAAGTTCTCACTGTCATAAAAACCCCTTATAAAATTGTATTTTCTTATATTTGTTTTTGTTTAAAAATGATTAATTCCTTTTTTCTTTTAAAAACCTTTATATTTATTTTATCAATTGAATGGATTGCTAAAAATGTTAAATTGAATTATATATTTTTTTACTGTAAATATTATTAATCTTCATCGATAAATCTATTGAAGTTTATGATTGTATAAGTGTATTTTTTTAAAAAAAGAATTGATTTAATATTATAATTATACCTATATTGTTTTGAATATTTATAAATAATAATATAATATAATAAATTTAAAAAGGATTATTAAAAAAGAGAGTGTGGTTAATTGAATATTTAGACTTCCTGACAAAAATTTTTTTAAAAAAAATTAGCTTCGAATTATTTTATTAGTAATTGTTCTCTAATGTATCACTATATTTTTTAGCCGTTTAAGCCTATTTTTAGTCGGCTAAAAAGTTGGATAATCCGTGTTTTAGTCGAAAACAATCACTTTAGCTTAGGGAGTTTTCACTAATAAAAATTAAGACGCCTTAATGTTAAAGGATTTTCTCTGGCCTGCATTAGATGAGCCTACATTTAGTCATTGTCCAGCTATACTCATAAGCTAAAGGCGTTACCTTTGAAATCTAGTGTTTTGATTAACTTAATATATGAATTTGAAAGCAAAGTTGGAAATATTCTTCAATAAATAACGCATTTTTTTAGGATTCTTAACTCTTCATAGTGCACATGAAAAATACGGAAATATATGTGTCTAGGTGGGGTTCCCTAAACAAATTTTGATGAGCTATATCTTAGAATAAGTGGTTGTGACCAGGGATCTAAATCGAAACTAATATCGGTTCAGGTTCGGTTCGTAAAATATTAAAATATAGGTTCGGTTCGAACCTATAAAAACTGGGTTGAACACTTTTGTATTCAAACCTACATTCGAATTATGTATAGGGAAAATATTTTTTTATTTTATCATTAATTTAAAAAACACATGTATAAAACCTTCATTTATTAATGGCACTTTATAAAATAATTTTTAATTTATAAAAATATAAAAATAATATCAATGATTAATTTTAATATGAACAATATTTTACTTTTTTATACTTAAATTTTTTTTTATTAAGCCGCACAATTAATATATTTTCAAAATTCGTCTCACTCAAATTACATCTATGAGATAGTATAAATTTAATTGTTGAAAAACATCTTTCCACACTAACTTGGGTAGTCGGCACTGCCAATATGATATCAGATTTGATATGTCATTTATAATAATATTTTTCTCTAAGCATAATTTATAAGCTTAAAATATTTAAAAAATGTTGTAGAATGACAATATACTAACGTTTATAAAAATTAGGACTGACACTTATCAATCAAATAAGATTGATGATAAACTTTAGAATATTGAAATTTTTTCAATATGCTAAATAACTTACATATTATTTTATAAGAATAAAATCATGAGGCTCGAAACGGTTCAGAGGCATTTTAGCGGTTCGGGAAAGGTTCAGCTAGAAATTTTTTTGCGGTTTAGGTTCAATAAAAAATACCGGTTTTTAGCGGTTTAACGGTTCGGTTGAGATTAGGATCCCTGGTTTTGACGATACTATCGTCATTAGAATGTTGAATAATCAACTTATTTTCTTATTACGCTCATTATAATAATTTATTTTGACTTATAATTATTTCGTTCAGAATTTTTATGTTCTATAATTCTAACAATGTATGGTCACTCAGTGATAATCTGTATTATTAATTGTTGTCTATATATACTTTGTAAGCTATATTATAATAATTCAATACAATCGACTTTTTACACATATATAATATTAAAACCTATAAATAATGTATTACAAGTAGTGAAGGTCACGGTCCGGTCTTTGGTCCGAACTGGATGGAAACCCTCGGACCGGACCACGGTCCTTAAGAAAAAGATCGATCCAGACCGTGGTCCTAGACAAACTTATGGTTTTCATATTGTAAAATAAAAATTAACAAAATCTAAAATGATTCCTCTAGATAAATATCATAAAATAAAATATACAAAAAAATTATATTAATTGTATAGTAAAGCAAACTTAAACAAGGTCCGGACCACGGTCCTCAAGAAAAAGATCGGTCCGACAATCGGTCCGGTCCGATCCCGGTCTAAGACCGATAGGACCGGACCGTTGACCTTCACTAATTACAAGTATGATAACCTTTACAACATGATACAATAACATTTTATATTACAAACGTCTTTTCTGAGATATAACAAGAATAAAAACTGAAAGGCTCAAAAAAAAACTTCTTTATGTACTGGGAATTATAAAAAATAATTTTTTTACTGAATTTTACATATATTTTTCTGAGCAATTAAATTGGAGCCTTTTATTTTTTCTATATTGTTATTCTAATTTTCTTAACTTAAATTTTCTTTGTCTTCAAAAATTGTGATTTTAATTTAACTTTTCCTTATTCATTAACTTTAAAAATTTGTTATATTTTCTTGTAGATTAATATTTTAAAATCATTCCTTTTAAATTAACTATTCAAAATTAAATCATATTTTTTTGTAAATTCGTAAGTATATAAGACGATTATATTTCGTTATACTGATATACTTATTTTTAGGAATAAATTTATTTTGAATTTTAGAAAATAGAAATAAGTAAAAAAGATTATTGAAATAAAAAAGATATACTATAATTCCTTATCCACTGCTATTGTTAACAGTTGCTAATTTTTTATTGTATTCCCATATATTTCTAATTTTGAATTTTTGTTTCTTGCAGGGGAATAATATAGTCATTGGCTAGAGGGAGTGGGTGGCTATTTTTCAAAGTATTTACAAAAAGGCGTTTTATTATATCTATAGACTGCTAACGCTTTAACAAAAATAATTCATATTCCCTTGGTAAAAAGGTTCGAATATTTCCTTAGAAAAATTTAGGATTTTACCTCTCCTTTTATTTTACTTAGATTATTAGATAATCAACTTATTTAATATAATTTTTAGCAAAATATATATTTACGTCAAGTTATATCCCCATAGTATCAATTCATAAAATGGGGCAAAACCCTATCTTCCATTAAAAGATCTCAATTTAATGCTTTAAGGAGATAACTAAGCTGTCGATACAATATTATCAAAGTATAATTTTTCTATTACAAAAAAAATAAACTCTTTTTATTGTATGGGAACCGAAAAAATATTATTCATTTTTTTTAAAAAATATAAAATAATTTGACTAGTATCATTATCACATATATACAATGATTGCGTTTGCGTAAATATTTGAGTATTACTACAAAGAATTAAATTATATTATAATTATAAAATTTTGTGCTAAAAATTACAATTATAAATATGGGGGAAAAAATAGTGCGAAATTTGTTAAAATATTTTGCGAATATGGTAGAATTTCTAAGTTATAAGGTGAGATTTTTCAAGTTTTGAGTTTTATTTCGTTGACTTATTTCTTATCTTTTTGCTCGTCGGGCCGCCATATATACGTGCCCGTAAAAATGTACCCATATTTTTTGGCAATTTCGTCAGATTCTTTAGGACCTCGACTTGAAAATTTATAAATAAAATATTCAAAAGTTAAAATTAGAGCCAATTTATAAAATACAATATAAAATTATAAAATTTTTCCCGGTTAATACCATAAATATCTGAGGTTAGAATTAACGATAAGATAAAATTTATATTTGGAAGAAAGAAATGGAAAATCACCTAACTAAAGCAGATTCTGAGACAGTATTTTAGCTTTAACCTCAATGGCAATCCATTAAAATAGGTTTGAGGAGGGGGAGATACTTTTAAATGTGTTAATATTATATAAAAATTTACAAATAATGTCTTTCGTGAATCTTGATAAATATCATTCATATTATCAATGCTGTTAAAAGCTACTTTTAAAAAATAGTTCGCTATAGTACAACTATTTTCTCCCAAAAAGCAGTTCAGCTACTAATTAGCTACTTTTTCGAAAAAGTAGTATGCTATATCTATTAAATTTTAAATGTAGCAATACAAAATTATGTCTGAATTTTTTTCTTCCTTAAACATGCGCGAATATATAAAATATCGCCGTCCCAATTATATATTTTTATAATTGTAAATTAAATTTTTATTCCAATTCTAAATATTATATAATATCACATAAATAAAACATTTTTATAATAAAGTACTAGTTATAATATATAATTTAATTAGTATATTTTGTATATGCTCTTAAGAGAAGATGTCTCTCAAAGTTTTCATCTAGCAAATAACATCATTTTTGTATATTCCTGATACCTGAGACCCGTTCTAAAGGATTGGACCTTCGATTTTGGAGATATGTCTCCTGGTAAGCCAATACCTAGTGTTGTTAAACGGCTCCATTTGAACCTATTTTTATAATATTTTTATCCAGATGAATATTACGCAAGCCTGAAGATTACCGATATCGAAATCATATCAGGTCACAAGTATTGCCGAATGATAGAATAAGGGATGATCAGTAATGTGAGGGCGTAGACGTATGTCCCAGAGAAACGCAACTAAGGAGATAGATGAAATTGATGGGCGTATGGCGAGTATCACAATATATACTTGGAATATTTGTTACTGAGGGACGAAGGAAATAAATGATGTGCAAGATATTTTTTTAAATCAAAATATTCGTGTAGGTTCCCTTTGGAACATTTATTTAGGTCCAGTTTGGCAATAATTAGCGAGTATTATATAAATTATAACAAAGAAATTTAATTTAGCGAATGTCCTTGGCCCGTTAAGGGTGGGCATGTTGCAGCTGACGTTTATATATATTAAATATAAATTCGAAAATTTATTTAAGATTTTGTTTATACATTAATTAATTTTTACTGGATTTAAAGAGATAATAAAATATTTACTACAATTGGTGAATCATTATAATTTCTAAATCATATTTTTAGGGAAAATATAATAAAAAATATTTAATTATTTTCTAATATTGTTGTCAAAATAAGATTAAATAAAAATAACGATTATGACAATTGTCACCTTTAAAATTTCTTAAGGATATCTACAAATCTTGTAACCCAGATATAAAGTTATATAAGGTTGGAACTACACCGGGACAGTATATATATGTGAAAAAAGTAGAATATAAGAATATAAGTGGCTTCCAAAAAATACTTATAAAATTTAAGGAAATATATATAATAATAATTATTTTTTGATTAGAGATAAGTAGATATTAAATTAGTATAATTGATTTTATATTATCTATTATAAATATATTTTATAAGTATTAGATAATATTAATTACTCGATGATAATAATTAGATTTAAGGGTTAATAATAATTTATATTATAATTTATAAATAATTAATAAATCAAAAGAAATATAAGATATTTAAGATATAACTTTATATAATAAAATTACCTTACCATCAAAAGTTATTTGTTAGATGGTCATAAATTAGGTTCACAATCTTCTTGAATAGACGTCTATATTTATAGCAGCCTATTTAATAAATTCCCAAGAACATATTAGCCAGAGATTTAATCTTGCCAAACCAGATATTTTTATAGGATAAGGTTTAATGGATTATTCTTCAGGGAAAATTTTATCGAGTGCTTTGTAGATTAGGTTATTAGGGGCTTGTCTAAGGACATGCCCCATTAATTCTATTTTTTTGTATTCAATTAATTTATAAAATGAAAGATTACTACATCTAGCCCATAGAACTCTGTTAGATGTATTTAATGAATAAATGGTTTTGGTAATATATCTTAGGCATTTGTTGATAAAAGATTGCATCTTCTTGTTATGTGAAACAGCAACATTACATCTTTTTATTCCATAGAAAAGTGAGGAAAGTATTAATCGTCGGCAAAGGTTTGACTTTTTTAATAATAAAATTGGTGAAGCTGAAAAGTAGTGGGGATAAAGCACAGCCTTGTTTTAGTCCAATATTGACCGGAATTTTATGAGATTTAAGATTAGCATGAATAATTTGAATAAAATAATTATGGTATAAATTAGTTAGGAGTTTTAGTAAATGAGTAGGAGTTCCTATCTCCTCTAAAGCTATCCATAATCTCGAATGAATTATAGAACAAATGTTCTTTTAAAGTCTAAAGCTATTATAAAAAGTTGATTCTTCCTAATTTTAGTTCTTTCAATTTAGTGATGTTAAGGTAACTAGTTACAATAACTAGTTACAGCTAGTTACATTTTGGCTAAAAAATAACTGTAACTAGTTATTTTTTAAAATTGTAACTAGTAACTGTAACTAGGTAAAATTTTTGAAATGTAACTACCAAAAGTAACTAGTTACTTTTAAAGATATATCCAAATAATTAATTTTATTTTTAATATGTTGTGATAAATTAATTTTTAATATGTTGTGATAAATTAATTTTAAATTAAATTAAATTTATTTTAAATTAAATTTATTTTTTAAATTAAATTTATTAATTTAAAATTTTGTGAAAATGTCTTGTTCCCAACAATAACACAAATACTTATATGTATGGCAGATGTGCAGGGATTAAAATATTGTCAACCTCTAAAGGATACTATATTAGCTAGTATTGAAAAAAGGTAACTAAAATCAAATAATTATTTATAAATTAATAATATCATGTTATAGGTTTAATAATCTTTATGATAATGACAACATTGCAATTCTTCACCCTTTATTTAAAACTGACCGGCCTTGGATTAGGCAAGAAAGGAATAAAGCAAAAAAGGAGGAAATTTTATTTAATAAATACCTTAATACCTCAAAGTGAATCCCAGACAAATGAATCATGCTCAAAACCAACATCACTTGATGTAGTTAGATTTTTTGACCTAAAGCGCCAAAATATTCTGGATAATGAACTTATAGAAAACTTTATCAAATCTAATAACAACACTTTTTCTTTATATAACGATTTCCCAAAGTTAAAATTACTCTTTATTAAATATAATGTTGTTCTAACATCAAGTGCTCCCGTAGAGCGCTTATTCAGTCTAGGTAAGCTGATTTTTGGAGATAAACGAGCACGTCTTCTAGATAATAACTTTGAAATTAATTTGTTGTTAAAAGCAAATAAACATTTATTAGATTCTAATTTTTATGAAAAATAAATGTTTTTTTTGCAATGCAAATATATATTTTTATATTCGATGTAAATATTCAATTTGCGATATTTTTTTATATAAATAAATTGTATATTATTTTAAATGACTGATTATACTTAGTTTATCCTAATTTTTTTTATATTAAATAAATGCATTCAATAAATAAATAATGCGCATATGAAGGATGTATAAAGTAAGTAACTAGTTACTTTTGAAAATAACTAGTTACTTTTGTAAAAATGTAACTGTAACTAGTTATGTTTTTGCCAATGTAACTAGTAACTGTAACTAGTTATGTTTCAAAAGTAACCTTTAACATCACTATTTAAATTTTAATTTTTAGAGCCAAAATGGCCTTAAGGGCGTTATGACCTTTTCTATATGAGACTAGTGAGTCTACGTATTAATTAGGTTAAATAATAGGTTTTAATCTATTTAAAATAATATAAATAAAAACTTTGTATACCACTGAATTTAATGATATACCTCTCCCAGTCTTTAAGATATTTTGGATTTTTTATTTTAAGGAAATTAATTAAAATTGCTATGAGCCAATCGGACGGACATGTTCCCTCATGCCAAATTCTTGATAATTGGAAGAAAAATCTCAGCACAAAGTGGAGGACCTGTTTTTAGAAATTCACTGTGGATACATTCATGACCACATGCTTTATGGTTTTTTATTATAATATTAATTAATTTATATTTAAGTTTGGAAGATGTGTAAGTTGGAGGGTTGATGGTAATTGAAAGTATGAAGAAGGGAGATTTGAGGCAGAAGGATATGTCTTCAGTAATCATATTATGTAATAAAAGTTGAGATGTGGAAGGTAATAAGGTGTACATGGGATGAAGATTTTTTGTAGAGGGTAATTACATCATTAGATTTAATAAAAGAGGGGATTCATGTAAGCTAAATATTTTTGTATAACAAGATGTCCAAGTTGTCATTTGTTCGTGCGTGTTTGTAATAATTTGATTATTATGAATAATTCTTGAGAAAAGCTCCTTGTTAAATGATGTAAGGATTTTAGTAGTTTAAAAGCTTTATATGATAAATAAATTTTGTAATGGAGCCCTTTTCTCTAAGAAAGCTCTTTTATCTCTTCTTAATATATGAATAATATTATAAATTATTTTTCATTTAATGACCAGTTCCAACAAGACTAGCATTAAGATTTTTAGATTCTAACGAAATCCAATCTGGGTATTTTTGTTTAATTGGTAAAGAGTTAGCAGCCGATTTGATGAAAATTTCAGAAGTATTTTTCCAAAGATTATCAGTGTTTGAATTAGTTTACAAGTTATTTACTGTTTGAATATGATTTTTAACTAGCGTCACATACTTTTCTTTAGTATCTTGATCACTAGCGTCACATACTTTTCTTTAGTATCTTGATCATTTGGTGCATTAAAATCAAGTTTAATTCTATTAGGAATTATTTTTTATTTATTTTTATTCTTTTTTACCATATTTTTGGATCTATCTTCACATAACATATAACAATTTTATGATCTGAGTTAAATGTACCTTAATATTAGATATCCAACCAATTGTAGATTGGAGCAAATAAAATAGTCAATTTGAGATCAAGAATTATAAGATGAATTGAAACAGGTATAAATTTCTTTAGGATCTGAGTGTTCAAAAACAAATTTCCGAAGCGAAGAACAAGGTTACGACAAATTTCAAGAAGTTGTTTACCACCTGTATCCGGATTTATATTAAGAGCACCAGAGCCCAAGGAATTATGATTTTTAATTCCTAACCGTCCGATTTTAACATTAAAGTCACCTGCAATTAATAATTTTCTTGCTTAGGAAATTTGTTTAAATATTCTAAAAGGGTATGGAGGAAGTTTTTTCTTTCAAGGTAATTAGCAGGGGTATATACGTATATGATGTTTAGAACTTTACATCTTCTATTTAATCTGATACTACATATTCTACTATTAAAATTAGAGACGTAATCAGCCAGATTATTTTTTATAATTATACAGACAGCAGATCAATTTAAATTTTTTCCCCGGACGAAAATAATTGTTAGCCATTACAAAATTTTTTTCAAGATCAGTCCAATGAAACTTTGTGCTGAGATTCTTCTTCCAATTATGACAAGAGTTTGGAATGAAGGAACATGCCCATCTGATTGGCTCATATTAATTTTAATTAATTTCCCTAAAATAAAAAATCCAAAATATCTTAAAGACTGAGAGAGGTATATCATAATTCAGTGGTATAGAAAGTTTTTACTCATATTATTTTAAATAGATTAAAACAGAGGGGAGTCAATATTATTAACGTATAATAAATCAAAAAACCTTCCAAAGATGTAAGGAATGGGTTTTATTATCTCCTTCTCGATCTTATGCAGAAGCGGGGTAAATATCCGCCAGGCTTCGTGCAATTCGTCCGTGCGCACAAAGTTAATTTGATTACCAGCGAAGGCGTCTATGATCAACCGCTCGTAGGCGTCGGGAGTTACCATACCCTTAAATTTGTCATACGGGTAGTAATTTAGATGTAAGAAAATATGAAAAATAATTTATTAATGGATGAATCTAAAGTTATTTTAGAAAAAAATGTGATAGATATTTGATTATTTAAATATCAAGATCTTTTGATTAAAAAAAAAGAATTTTTTGATTAAATCAAGTTTTTCTTATTAAATTAAATAAATTTTTTCTGTCCTGGCAAAAATAATATACTCGAGAAAAAGGAATTTATTGAAAAAACCCATTTCACATTATTAAAATATTCCTGTTTTTCAGTGAGATTTATGAATAAGGCCTATCAGACACCTCTTTTCTTTAGGTCGGAACTGATCTTAGAAATTTTTTTGGACCGACCGATTCGATATAAGATATTGATGTTTAGATTGATTTAAAAATATCAATCAACTCTGAACCAATGTCATAAAAAAAATACAATATTTTTTATAAGCAAAGATAATATTAATAACTAAGTGTCTGACTGTAAACTATGGGCAAAACAAAAACTCTTTGATTTTTTAATTTTGCGTTTCTCGACAAATACATGTTTTGTGCATTATCACACGAATGATTAAGTGTAGTATTTGTTGTTTTTTTTCCCCAAAAGTTTATCAACACGTTTAAAATTATTGACAATGTTTATGATTGAATGTGACTTGTTAAATATTTTTAAATTTCTTGTTACAGATGCTAATATAACATTAAATAATGCCATATTTTTAGCTAATTCTTTCTTTTAAATGACAAATAAATTGAATTTTGGTTTTTTTGGCAGGCGCGTACGCAGGAATTTGGTCTGGGGGGGGGGGTAATAAAATTTTTTAAGAAATATTATTGTTAATTAAATACTAAACATAAATTCATTAGGACTAATAACTTTTCTAATACACAATTTTAAACTAATGTGAATTAAAAAAATTATATATATAAACCGGCATTGAAAAACTATAAAATAAATGTGAATTATAAAATATAAAGTGAATATAACCCATGATGAATCACTTAAATGACCAAAATTGAAATTTGAATTTTTTGAGCTTTTAAAATATATAAAGTATAAAAAATTTAAATGTTGGAAATATAAATTAATACACAAAAAGTTTCTTAGGAATAATTGTATATTGTATGTTTTGAGCTAATTTTTCAATTATCTATCCTTGCTTGGCGTTAAATGCCTTTGAATATTCAAAAGATCCAAATCATTCAATCTACTTTCAGATGTTGTATTTCATAGATATGTTTTTCACAGACTTAAAGGCCAGGCCTCCGAGCCGGACCGTATTTTAATTTTTTTTAAATATACCCGGGCCGGGCCCGTAATTTTTTTAAGAAAAAACACGCGGGTTGGGCCTGAAAATTTTTTTAGAAAAAATATCCGGGCCGAGCTGTATATTTTAAAACCAAATATTTGAAATCGCCATTATTAGTTATAAAAATCAAAAATAAATATAATTTATATTAAAAAACCGAACCGGGCCTAAAAAAAATTTTACAGGAAAAATTTTTAAAAAAAATCTGGGTCGTGTCCAGCAAATAGTACCTCTGCAAGGCTCTGTTATTCTTCTTAAAAAAGAGAATGTTCTTTCATTAGTTTACTAAAGAGCTGCTAATATATATATAACCATTTTAATACATTGGGAGTATAATCTAAAATGTGTTTGAAATAATGCAAAGCATCCATAGCATTTTTTGGGACTGTATCAACCATAGTTAATTTTTTAATCATAGTTATTCAGCTAATAAGGCATCATAAGATATTTTAACATCTTCATGATAAAAATCTAACAAATATTTATATTTTTTTTCTATCACCATATGAAAAAGGTTGGGAGAAGGGACATTTGTTTTATAATACTCTTCTACTGATCCTATATTAATGTTTTGACGATGAGCTTGCTTGCTGCAAGTCGAGGGGGACAAATATTAAACACGTATACCACTGCTTTTGACTCAACAATAACATATAAAATATGAAATTCTTCATCAACATTAGCTCTAATTTCCTTGAGTTCTAATAAAATGCTCTCCGCTATTCTCATTTTCTTAATCAAGTCAATGTTATGTTTTTGAAAAGTATTACATAAAATAGTTGTATAATTAAATAATTCATTCTAATGAGAAAAAAAATTTGGAATAAGTATTGAATCCAATAATTTTCTTTCTTCTGAGGAAATATTTCTTTCAGGCCATTGTTATATTTCAGTAATAGCATTAATAATCGGCTCTTCTAACTCCAAAATAGCTGTTACTGCTTGGTGGTGGAGACCGATCTCGTTGGACAAGCTTGCAAATTCTTTCTCCCTGCTGGACAAGGAGTTTCAGAGATAATTATTATTTGACTAGAAATTTAGATAAATAATACGCCATTAAAATTTGAAAATAATAGGTAAATTACGCCAAGGAAAACTTGAAATCGAAATTAATTGATAAAATAACTTAGTAGATGAATGTGATAAATAAATGTAATTAAAATATATATATGAGATAAGAATAAATTTTAACAAATATAAAATATAATCCGGCATCTGCATTTTTTGGCTTTGGGGGGGGGGGGGGGGGGGGTTGCACCCCTGTCCCTTTTCCCCCGCTGCGTACGCCAATGCATTTTGGTATTATTAGGATATAGTGTTGTTAAACGGCTCATTTTGAGCTGATTTTTAAAAACGGTTAACTCAATATTTCATTAGAAAAATATTATGCAAGCCATAAAATTTTGCTCATTGGTAGCACATAGGTTTGAACATCTATTAACGTAATCTCGAGGTTTAGACAATATTTTTCTGGTTATATTTAGTTAGCCGTTTTTAAAAATCGGCTTAAATGGAGCCGTTTAACAACACTATTAGGATGAATAAAATAGAAAGTATTTCAATAATTATTTTATAAATCAAAAGAATTTAAATTGAAAATACAAATTAAAATAAAGAAATAACTGTAGCTGAAAAAGATATATATATATCGTAAAATAAATAAAACTCAATATAATATTTATTTTTTTTATAAAATTGTGTTGAGCTTAATAAAATTTTTATTTGACTTTACAATAAACTATTTTTAAAATTGGTGTCTAAAAGACGTGTTAGTTTTTTCTCCAAAAATATGCTTTTTCTAAATTAAATGTTCTATAGGAGACGCTTGAGCTTAATACAATTGAATTAATCATTATAAAAAATAATGAATAAGATGCATTACGTATATTTATTATATAACATATTTTTTAAAAAAAGTAATTAGGTTTTTTTTCAGAAAAACATCTTAATAATTAAAAAAATATTTTAAAACAAAGATCTATATAAAAAAAAATAAAAAATATATATAGCGCATATATATTAAAAAAAAATTTTTACGCGTATAAAATAAAAAATTCAATATAATCATAAAATCATAAAATAACCAAAAACAATGAAAATATTTTGTATTGGTTTTTTTTAATAACGGCAAATTATTTTTTTAAACAGTAAATATAGGTCCGGATCAGATTTTAAATTATCGGCATAAACCTATAAATAAATAATAAAGTTACTTATATATAACTAGTTATTTTTGAAATATAACTAAACTCGAACTCGTTACCTTATAAGTATAAACTAGTTACAACACTAATAAAATAAATGAATAAAAAGAAAAAACAAAATTCTTTTATTTGTAATGTTTTAAAAAAACGAAACGAATTATTTTAAAAGAGAGAAGTAGCTATATAAAAATGTTATATAATTTACTTGAAGCAAAAAAATCATTGTTGGAGCGAATTCTCAGCGTAGAATAAAAAAAATAGGGCGTATTTTGTATAATTCGCCGCGAATTCACGCTAACTGTGATTGTGAATGAGGGGTTGTCATAAACATCTCCCCATATTTTAAATGAGATAATTGCCATTTGAGGAATGATTAAAAAACAAAATACACTTAATTATTCGTAAAAAATGCATTAAATATCACATTGGGATGGAAAATGGAAATTTCAAAGAACTTCTTGTTTTGCCCATAGTTTACAGTTAGTTATTTTTTGCATAGAAAATATTATTTTTTATGATTCATTGGTTCAAAGATGAATGGTAAATGTTATATTGTGGAAATAATTTAAATAAAATCACTCGAGGTGATAATGAAATATTTTATGTAAAAGTTAAAATCGATTTAAATGTAAAAGTAAAAATCAATTTAAAGGTAAAAAGTTAAAAATGATTTGAAATGGATGTATAACGATAAAATGTAAATAGATTATATTTGAAAGACATAACTGTAGGATATTGATATATTATAATTTTTTTGTATATATTGTTATGTTTTTTTGTTATATTACAGTTTGAAATTTTATATGTTATAATAAAAAAAGATAAATTAAATATTTGTGTTTTAAATGTTTCAGCTTTAAATCGTATAATTAATGTTTAAAAATGTGTTAACTTTAAATTATAAATTCTCATCCTTATCACATATCCGAGAAATCGTAAAATTCTTATAGTAAATAAAAATCATTCAAAATGTCAGATTGGATATTGGATCGTTTTTAGAAATGAATCGAATCGGTGAAACCCTAATCGTGATTTTCATATAAAAACGTCAATTATTGATTTTAATCGATTTGACTAAATTATGCCAACCCTAATTAAGACGCAGTAAGTTTGAAAAATTTAGAATAGCCAGGAAATACAGTAATTTAAATATTAGAGTTATAAAAATTAGCATCGATTTTAAGTTAATCTAACCTTTTCAAGTTTAATTTTTGTTGTGGTAATTCACCAGTAAATTATATTTTTTTCCCAAAAAAATCTGAAAATAATTTTACGATATCGGATTAATTCACTTATTTTAGATAGACGAGAATAGAACTATAACCCTGCACATTACCTGAAATCCTGCCGAATTAACTCGATGTAATTTCAAGTCTGATTTGGCGAGTAAATTTTAAAAAATAATATTCGAGCGTATCGTAGACCCTTCCAAGTCGGTTAAAAAATCGGGCTGGAGACTATAATGACCTTCGGATTGGGGCCTAGGATGATGTAAAAATAAACATTTTTAGGACGAGTTAGGCTTAAAAATTAATATTCAGAAATTGAATTTGCAAGGACATTACCTTCATCGAAAACCGATCTAAATGGAAGGCATACTGTTAGAAACCCTAAATCGTTAAAGCGATTTATATTAACTTTATAGTTCATAAGATATACCTTATATCTTTGATTGAAGGTGAGATTCAATTCTGTCTCCACCAGGTGGCAATCCATGCCAGGTTGTTTGGTCATGAATTTCATGTAGACAGCTTCATTAGGTTGAACTCTTATCACTAATTCGTTCCTTTTAAGAGCGCCAACGGGAAATATGTCACCCGCGACATCCTTGAATTGAATACGGATGAAAGTAGTTCTTTCGTTGAGGGCTTGTGTTGTTAATGAAATGGAAATAATAATTTAAAAAATTTAGGAATAAAAATACGGTTATATATAAATTATTTTGTCTGCCAAAAAAACACTTATTTTATTTTTTTGAAGGAATCGGGCCGGCGTAATACATTATTCCAACATTTATTCTGTAATCAGTAGTTAATATCATCTTATAGTAAAGGTAGTATTCACTTGGAACTGGTAGAATAAGATATCTAATGGAATACAAAATATAAGACTAGTAGAATCTTAACCATAAATATGATGTTATCACATTAGATCTTTCGAATAACTTTTTTGTTATTAAATTCGTTATTCGAATTACAAAATATTCGAAAATTTTAGTCTAGTTGTCTAAGGTCGTGTAAAATACGGTAGGTTAAATGAGGAAGTCCCCTTTGCGTTGAAAACATGGCTCTATATAAATTTTTATATATAGTCTTCTATATTTTTCTTTATATAGGAACGAGCCCTCAAGGTAAATTAAATGACATGTGAGTATATATATATAATTCATTCATACCTCATTCCGCTTTGATTCCTAATTCATGATGGTTTAGATTACGAATTTTATTCATTTATTGATTACTACACTATCAGAAGAAAAAAATTTGATAAATTTTCTAATTTTGATTTTAAGAAAACCAATCATTTTAGTTTAGAAAAAAAAGAACTGGTCTTAAATCTGCAATTTTATCAAAGCTTACTTTTATATCAATATGATTTTCTTTAAAATTTGAATATAATTCGTTAAGATAGCATAAAATAAGTATTTTCTCCAATTGGTTTCCCTTTTTAATTTTATTGATATAAAACGGTTTTTACCAGGCATCATACGTCTCTTTAATCGGAATTAAGAAATTTTCGAAAAATATCTATAAAGTAGTATCGAAAAACACTTCCGGCCTTTATAATATTTGGATTGGATAAAACACCCTTTCCTCCACCAGCCAGTAGAAAATTCTTCTTGTTTTTAACACCCAAAAATTTCTATAAAACTGTCAATATGAATCTTTCTCATTTCGAGAATGTGTTGTTTCAAATTTGTTTTTTTTGCTTAATTATTTCACATTCGTCGTTAATATTAAAATTATCTTATGAAAAATTCGAAGTCATATAATGCAAATTTTATCGTTAATGATATTCTGATTAATCATCCAAGGAAGTACATTTCTTAGGCCTTCACAATGTATATGTTTATCCAAATTGTGCGAATTTTAGGAACAAATTATTATAAACAATAGCCCGCCCTCCCCCACACCTTATATAATCTTATATTTAAATCAGAGACCTGCAGGTCCGGCCTACTCGGATAAGGCCGTGCCGTACTTTAATTTCTTTAAATATAACCGGGCAAGGCCTAGAATTCTTTTTTTTAGAAATTCCCGATCCGGGCCGAATATTTTAAATCGCCATTATTATCTATAAAAATTAAAAATAAATATATATTTTAAAAAAATCCGGACCGGGCCGATCTTTTAAAAAAATCCAGACCGGGCTATGCAAATAGTACCTCTACAAGTCTCTGATTTAAATACATAAATTATTTTAAAGATTTGCTCAGATATATCACAATTAATGACTTATCAAATATTTATTACGAATTTTTACATTTGACTAATGATTAAAATGCCATATCTCCTAAACCTGTGTTAGGCCCAACTTAAAATTTTGCAATTTATTAATTAATTCTATAGCTATTAATACAAAAAATTTGAGAGAAAAAAAAACTTGGATTTGATTTTATAACCATTTCCGGTTTTTGATATTTAAATTTTTTTAACAATTTAACATTATATATCTTTAAAGAGCTACCATTAGGTTATATAAAGAAATTTAAATGGCGCTTTTATCTCAATTATATCCAAAGATATTTAAAATGAAAGGGAGAGAATTTAGCAAAAACGCCAGATTTTTCGACCTTTAGAAGCCTGTATCTCAGTCGCTGCTTGCAGTTGGAGGCTAAAAATTTTTTTTTAGTTATAATATATGCAAACTATTAAAAACTTTAGAAAAATTTGAAGGGGTAGGGTTGAAACTAAAGTTGATTTGTCACGGAATTCACCATATATATATATACTAACATTATATGTTATTTAATATACCTTGGGTTTTGTTCCTATTTGTAAAAAAAAATTGAAGAATTTTCATTCTGCTGATGCTGGAAATCGTGACAAAATGGGTAATAAATAACTGATACTAAACAGGGAATTGATTGAAAGTGACAATTTTACTAAGTATTGAAATTCATTTTATAAAAATGGAAAATTTTATGAGGTAAAAATAGGTATATGAATGTCAAAGTTTTTGCGAAATATTTATATAAACAGATAGACTAAGATCATTAATTTAAAAAAATTTATTTAAATAGTACATTTGTTATTATATAATTTACTTTACTGGAGAATGACTTTGTTTTATATAATTATACATAGCCCTACACTATGTGTATAATGGTAATTCAGCTTATTAAAATGAATCTTTAATGTTTTGGTAGGTAAAATCTGATATATAACTTTTAAAATTATTTAGCTTTATATAGTAGTATTTTAAAACAATAAACGTTAACTTGCGGATTTAAATATTATCGAAATTTAAAATTTAATAATAATTATTTTTGATATAGTTATATTAAAAGATTTAAACTATCTATTATGAGATAAAAGGGAAGATAATTATTAATGCATATTCTTTTATTATTGAATATATTTAATTTTTATGTTTATATCATAGAAAATGAATTATTCAAAATGTATATAAAAATTTTTACCTAAGCATTAGAAAGTTTACCTTGAAATTTGTATATATTTAAAAAAATAAATATAAGAAAATATTTTTTTAAATTTTTTTTATAAATATTAAAATAAAAAAGTATGTTTAAAAAAACGTGAGCCTGTACAGGTAATGAGACCTACATTTTGAAATTCGTTGGTATAGGTAAAAACTTAAAATGCTTAAGCTTTACTTAAATTACACAAGATGAGGGTTCATAATGTATATGAAATATAATTATTTAAAAATAAAGCCGAAAATTTACCTATTATTATAAATCTATTAATTTATTTTATTTTAAAGAGTATTAAAAAAATTTAGTCTTATTTTCTCAAAAGACATTTTCCTTGTTAATTTATTTTTAAAATTACAGGATGGCCAAAATATGCGTCCCTTTCTTTAAAACTATGAGAAATAGAGATTGATTTAGCCTCTTATTCTATATATTAAATGTAAAATATTTAAAAAGATAAAATAATATACAATGTGTGTGGCCTAATATAACTAATTAAATTTTAAAATTTCAAAAATAATATTTCCAAGCTGATTCCCGACCCGTCAAAAAATAATTTTCGACCTGAAAATTATCACAAGTTGTTAAAAAATAATAATTCATTTAATAATATAAAGAACTCCAAAAACCAAATAATGAACAATCCTTTAGAGCCGTGCTGATAATAGCTCAACTCAAGGAATGTTCACCTGTAGGAAATTTTTTAATTGGATCAAATATATTATTAAAAACTGGAGGAGTAGAATTAAAGACTAGAGTTAGAGAGATATGGGTTGGGGTTAATTAGAGGGCTGAGAGAGATGGGTTAAAATTAAAATATTAAAAATGGTATTCAATAAAATTTATTGATTTTTATTAATAATCTATCAAATCTTACATGTCATGTGATCATAAATGGGCTAGTAAATTTTTTTTAATAGCTCAGCTGTAATAACGGATTTCCTTGAGTCAGACCTAAATTAAGGTTGCTACATGTAAAACTTGGACAAGCTTATAGAAGCCACAAACCATCCAGTATAATAACCATTACACCACTCTCAAATATAACGTAAGTTTCTGACTCTTTGGGCCTCTCGCCATAGCAAACAATACTTCCTCCATATTTTAATTAAATTTCATTTACTACACAATAAAACAATATTATTTTATTATTAAAAATTCCATATAAAATATCATTTTGTTTTACAAAAGCAAATAGGAGCTAATAACATATAAGGTTAATAAATTTTTTATCTTGTAAAAAAAATTACCTTTGCCGCACTTGAGTATGAAGGGCACCCCGTCCCACCGCTCATTCTCGATGAAGAGAACCGCGGTGGCGAATGTAGGAGTAGTGGAATCTTTGGGAATGTTTGGATCATCAAAGTAGCCCTTGCTTTGATCCTCGGCTCCAGCTGGATGTTGTGAAGGGTGGTATTCTGGGTTTCCCATGTATTGGCCTAATATTACGTTAGCTGGTTCAACACTCTTTATACTGCGTAGCACTCTGACCTGATAGTGATAAATATTAATTATATTTAATTTGACCGTAAATATTTATAATATTAAAATTTCGTTTCATTTGATTTCGTTCTTAGCTTTAATCAATCTATTTATATAAAAATATAAATATATTTAGCCAAAGCAATTTTAGGATGGGCTACGTAAATTTATAAGTAAAATTTTACTCTAAGTTTAAATTGGATTTCTTAAATCAGGTTCTTTATCCACGATATTTTATTAATTTTTATATTATTAAACGTAACAATTAGGACAACGCATTTATTTTTAAGTGTTTTTTGAAAAAAAAACGAATTTAAAAAAAAGTAATTGAACCTTTTCATTCCTGATATTGTCGGCATTGAGGGAAATCGGTTTTTCCATAGCTGTCACACACAACAATTGAAGCAGGTGATTTTGCATAACATCCCTAAATCAAATTTTCCAAATTAAAAAAGATATATATATATAATTTATTTAATAATAATCATATTAAAAAATGAAAATAAAAATTTTGCCGCAGAATCTCTTTTAAAGTTCTGGAGGTAATCGGTAATTATTAAAAATATTATCACTTCCGAGTTATGGCAATATTTTACTTGTAAATTTTTAACATATTTATATTCGACTAGAACGAAAAAATTATATCCATTATTAAATTTTGTTGATCCTAATGAATCCATCCATACCCCAAAAAGTTGAAAGACTGTGGCGGGATCTAAAGGCAATATAAAAGACATCGGGATTGGGATAGCATTCAAGAATATCTTCTGAATATAGATATTTGCAAATAATCGATTATTAAATCGTTTTAAATATTTTATTTTATTAATGATTGGATAAATTTTGATAATATATTTCGATTTAAAATAAAATTGCGTCAATTTTAACTTTTTATATAATCTATATATAATTTTTACAGCAATATATTTTGTACTATTTAATCTAAAAATGTAATCGATAACCTCCCAAATTTACACTATCTGTATTCTACCTCCCTTAAACGCCTAACCTCTTCAAAAAATTTGTAGGCAAAATGCTCTTATCCAAACCTCCCTCTTATGTAAACGCTGTAGGTATAGCTAAGGAGCCCTCTATTCATATGCATAATTTCGAAAATATAATTTTAAAAATTCCTAAATAATTATAAAAAAATAAATAATTATTTCAAAAATTATATATATTTATATAAACAAAATAAAAAAATTAAACAATCCCTTATTTAAAAAATTACAAAAAAAAATATGATAAAATTTTTTTTTCAAATTTAAAGAAAATAACCTATTAGTTAAAGATTGTGATAAAATAATGTCAAATTGCTGTGCTGGTCACCTCGCAGGCTAGATTATAGAAAGATGTTTTTGAATAATAAAAATTATACTTTCTCAGTATAAATATGCAATTTTTGACAAAGGTAGAAATCTTTATAATTGTACTTCTCAATATGCAATTAATGATAAAATAAACGTTATAGGTATATAATTTTTAATGATGAAATAAAAAAAAAGTGCTCCTCCTTTATACATTATTCTAATGTGAGTTTATATATAAAAGAACTCAAACTAGTGTTAAGAGACCAACTGACATTTTTATTTGAACTCGAACCAGGTTTAGACCCCACTATAAAAATTCATCAAATATTCTTAATCTCAGAGTTTCTGCCCCCTGACATTTTTCCGAGTTGGTGCTAGGAGGGGGGGGAGGTGTTCATATTCATGGTTTGTGCTCAAAGTAGAGATGAGCGCCAAATCCAACCATAATGTTAAAGATCAAGCATTTTAGCTGTACTAATTATTACAGTGTTTGTTTTAATAAATATTTAACCTGATGATACCATATTGATCAAAATAACCAGATCTACCCTCGGTTCCAATGTCTTCTTTAAAGGTGATTATAACGCAGGCTATATTGTCCCTATTCCACAGGGTCGAGAATATCTTATTTCCAAACCTGAATTCGATATTTTTGAAAGAATTAAGCCATATTTTACTTTATAAAGTGTAAACAAACTAGAACTCTACACTGGGATGTACTTTTTAAGATTCCTAGGCAAGACCGATTAAACCCAATGTATTTTAAGGTCAAAGTCTTAAATAAACCCACTTGAATTAATAAGAACCAAGTCTGATCCATATTTCTTTTTAAGGATTATGAAATTTATTTTTCAAGGAAAACAGAAGAAATATGCTCAAGAAATATAGTACAATTTTTTTTTAAAAAAGTAGTTAAATTGCTCCTAGGCATGAGACCCCCCCCTTCTCCTAAATCTAACATGATTAATTTATTTAGAATTAATGCCTTTAAATGTCAAACTCTCTTGGATTCTACAAAGCTCTAATATGAGTTAAGGAATATTAATAATATTGTGCAATAACATTTTCCATGATATAAAAAAATGAGAAAAACCTAGATATTAGCATATTCTGCACCATCTCTTTACCAAGGTAATGATCAATTCGATAAATCTGACTTTCATCAAAAAGCTGAGAGATATGAGCAGATAATTTGCTAGAACTCTCTAAATCTTTACCGAATGGTTTCTCTATGATCATTCTGGTCCAGCCACTATATATATCATTTTTATAAGAATATAAAATAAATTAATAATCAAATTTTTAAATGAACAAATATTCTACACACCTATATAAAAATTATATGAAAAACATATGCTTATTTACTTTTTACTTAAGCAGTGGTGATTGATCATAGTTGTGACAGATGCATAAACATTGGGTGGAAGGGCCAAGTAAAATAAATAATTGACTTGAATTCCATCGTAGTTTTTATCTCCACCTGCTTGAACATCAATTAGATCTTGCATTTCTTTATATCCATCATCCCCAATATAGCAGTTTACAATATCTAAGGTAATATGCCAATTAATATAATGTGAGAATACTAATAATAACCTTTCTCATTTTCATCTTCTTCGTATATATTTATTCTATCATCTAATGATTTATAAAGTTTTTCTTTAATTGTTTTTTGTGTGATAGATTCAAGTTCTTGATTTAATATTTTAAATTGTTCATCATTATCATATGACCCTTGGACAAAATAATTTCTACTTACAAAATCTTTGTATGCATCTGACTTATCACTAGGTTTAACCTCAAAAAAAATATTTGCAGGTAATATAATAATATTACTTTCATGTATTTTTCAGCATGTTGCATAATAACATCAACTTTAATTTGACTTCGTGCATATCCACATATAAAAATGTTTATAGGCAAAAGTTGTTTCTCAAAAAGATACCTATGATAATAAAAATATGAAAAAAATGGCATATTATACATACCACAAAGTCGGATAAATCTTTTTCTTAGCCAAATCACCCTAATTATGATAGTAAAACATTTTTAACAAATATTTAAATTTTACAGAGGCGCCAAAAATTATAAAGAAGTTAATAGACTCTTGTTTTGGTGTCATAATATATGGTGTAGTAATGATGACTTTCAAAAAAAATATTTTGTCCAATTTCAAACTATCAGATGTTTTTATGATATAATGTTAAAATAATAATATGTTATTGCTAAGTGGTGACCGATATAATATTTTATGAGAAGGTGCTTTTATGTAAAAAAAAAAGTACTATACATTTTACCTATCATTTACATAATCTTATTTTCTCAAAATTACACTTTTCTGTGATTGTGATATTTATATAGTTAAAACTCTATTACTTACATATATTATTTAACAAGTTAAATAAAATATATATTATAGACAACATAAGGTCTAGTATATTAATGTACAGTTATAAAATATTTCATTTGATAATTTTTGTTTATCTAAAATCTTTTCAATTAAATAGGTTCAAATTTTTATATTTATAAAATTGTTTATAGAATGGATCCAAATATTAAAAAAAATTTGGTAAAGATTGGAACTCAAGAATTTGAGACCAGTGAAAATACAAATGAAAAATCTATAGTATATAAGAAATACTAACTTATATTTAATAAACAGGGTAAGAAATTCAAAAATTCTTTTAGTCGGACAAAATATTCATGCTCAGATCTGGCAAATTTTTAAATTTTCGATGGGGAGGGGGGGGGACATTGCCGATATTTAAGTGCCATGATATTTTATGCGTTGTGATAAATAATATCAATAATTTCTACTTTATAAAATAATATCTTATTTCTTTAACATTCTTTTACAAGACACCTAACAAACAAATCTAACTTATCTGGGATATCAATCTCGTATACATTCTTTATTTATTATTTGTCTTAAGACATCATATCAATCCGGTACAACGTCTACATGACAGAGTTTTCACTGGATACAAACCCCCCTCAAAAACCTATGCCTACTCCCCTAAAAAACTTTATTCATATGTTATTAATTTCACCTTTTTAATTATACTCCTTTCATAAATTTTAAAAAGAATAACATAAATTTTTTAGTTCTACTACCAAATATCAAAATATTGTGAATATAAAATAGTTGTTTTAATATCATGAATTCATTTAAAACACCCCCATTCAACGAATGCATTATTATAGTATATTGTAGTGATCTGCATCGGGCCTAATTTTTCAAGCCCGGCCCGAAATTTATTTTAAAAATGTTTTGCCGGCCCGGTCCGAACCCGAAATTTGTTTAAAAAAAATTTACCTGCCCGGCCCGAATTTATTTAAATATAGAAATTAATTTTCAGAATTACTCAAAATAAAAGACATATGTTATATGTCGTTTAGTTTCAATAAATAAAATCAAATATTTTTATTTTACATAAAAAATTAAATATATTTAAAAAATTTCCAAGGTCCAACCCGAATTTATTTTAAAAATATTAGGCTCGGCCCGGCCCGAACCCGATTATTTTGGGCTTCGGGCTGGCCTAACTTTGCAGATCTCTAGTATATTGTTTGTCATGAATATGAGTTTGTTGAGAATGTCTAACCCTATTAAATTACACAAAAGGATTGCAGAAAGTTTTATTTGGAAAATAATTATGATTGTATGCAATATATATTGGTCGTTAATAAAAGTATTAATTTTTACAGAAATATATTTTCTTTTTATTGGTGTATAAAAACCATATTTTAAAATTTCTAGTGAATATAATAATTTATAAAATATTAATGGTTACGTATAATATAAAATGAGTATTTTTATTTTTAAAATACATTATAATTATCTTTAAAAATAGGGCCCTTAATAATTGATTTATTTATTTGTAAAATTATAAAAAAAACTAGATAAAATTTAAATTCTTTTTTCTCCATTTATACTTTTTCTGAAATATTTAAGTATATTGGTAATAAACATATTTAGTGAGTTTCATTGTTTCTTATTCGACTCCTCTCAAATTTTTTTGCTTTACTGGAAATACGACACTGATGATATTTTTTAAATAATTTTGTATATTCAGAAGGAGAATTTTGAAGGTTAATTATATAATTTGTTACTTTAGAGACCAAAAATATCTTGAGAGTTTGATATTCGTTATAAGGGGGAAAGGTTCTCGTCGAAGGTCCATAACTAAGAGCATTAAAATTTGATTTGTATAACAGTCTATTTAACCTTCATGCTAAATTTCATCATTTTTAAAAATGGTCGTCCAAAATTCATGTTATTTTGGTCGATTCGTAATGGAATTAACTTTAAATAATATCTGTAATATAAAGGATTTATACAGTTTATATTTAAATAAATTTAAAAATCTAATTAAATTATTAATATTTGTATTTACAATTATATATATATCTTAATATATGATTTTAAACAATATTCACTGAACCCGGCTGAACTCGGGTTCAAAAAAAATCCCAGGTTAGGTATGGGGTATGGGAAATTTTAAAAACGGGGTTTAGGTTCGTGTTCAGAATTTTTTTCAAAAACGTTTTCTTCTACAGGTTCTGGTTCAAATCCCTCTTTGTACCATCAATTTTTTTTATTGGCATAAAAAAGTTTCATATTGGGGCCAAGGCAAGTTAAATCATCTTCATCTGAAGAAATATGTACAATTGACAATATTCTTTATAAAATAAATTATAAAGAATACAAATTAACGTATCTTGATTGATTTAATATTAAATATATTTCTTGAATAAAAATTTAAAATAAAAATGAAGGATGGTGGTTAACCTGGCTTTAAAACTCAGCTAAAATTATTTACAAAATTTAAAAAATAATTTTATAATAAAATATGTATTTCCATATTTTTTTTAAAAAAATTTAAAGTAACGAATAGTGTTTTGCTTTATCGTTACTCCAAAAAAAGAAACGCGTTATTTCTAGAAGAAGGTAACGAATGGCGTTCCCTTTCTTCAAAAAGTTAACGACATTACTTTACAGCTCTACATAATAGTGCATATTTTATAAATATAAGTAAAGTATTAAAATAAAATAAAATATGCCCAATAAACAAATAATCTTTAAAATCGGGCGGACGAATTAAAGAAAAAATGGCAGGGAGTTTTAATTTTAAAAAAACTATGGGCAAACGGGAGTTTGGGTAAATACCAATATTAATAATAAATCTAACAAAGTAGGAAGCCATGCAACAAAAAAATTATAGATCTATATCTGATATCATCGGTGAAAATATTTATTGGCGTAACAAATAATATTATTTAATGTACAAAATAAATAAATATAAAATGTAATATATATATATCACTTTATCACAAATTTTATACAATCTCCTAGTAAATCAAAATGACCAGTTTTCATTCGGGTCCCCATAATTTAAAAGTTTTGTCAAAACCACAAGTTACTAACAAATCAAAATCGTAGACATCGGCACCCATTATCTTTCCTTCTTGTGCTTTGAGCGTTTTTATAGGCATCCAACCTGGATGTGCCCAAATCTTATTATAATAATAATAAAAACTATGTAATATAATAAAAACTATGTAATAATAATAAAGTTGCAATTAATATTCAATGCATGTTTTAAACCCTTACTTAATATTATGAGTAATTATAATAATAAAAAAGATAGAAAATAGCACCTAAATCACTAAAATATTCAGAAGAATCTTTAACTTGGATTGCCGCAACCATCAACAAGTATATTCATAAAAATTTAATGGTCCAATGATTAATAAAACTTTTCCAGGGAATTACATTATTTGAGATATAGCTAAAAATTTTAATATATCCCATAATAAAAAAATTATTGGCGAAACGGGTACAAACCAGACCTTCGCACAGCAATTTATGTCTGAGCACACCTTATAACCCTTAGAGATGTGGCATTTGTTTCAAAAGGTTAGAACGATTTGATATAAAATGCTATCGGCATAATTAGTTATAATATTTGTGGAGCTTAAACGGCATTATTATCGGTTAATGATGCTTACTACATTCTATAAAATTTGTTTTTGTTTATTTTTCATTTAGATAGGCACTACCAAATATATTCAGAATATATATTAGAAAATTCGTGATTTTTGGAAAGCGTCTATGGCCTAGTCGGCAAGAGCGTTGCTTACCAATCCGATGGCTATGGGTTCGAATCCCAGCAATGATCTTATTTTTTTCTTAATCTAGCTTGGTGGTTCCGTCCTTTAGGGGGTGGTATATAGGAGGCCGGACTCGACCACGTGATTCCATATTAATATATGTTAAATAATAAGGGTCTTATTATATTTTAATAAATTTTGGTATTTGGCAGTATGTATCAAATAAAAATTGTAAAATCACGATTTGCTCGGAATTGCCTTTGATAGTAAGCATCATTAACCATTATTATCCAATCAATACAATATATAGAAGAAAAAATTGATCGTCATATAATGGACATCAAGGCTATTCATATCATAGAAGGGAGTTAATTAATGTAATGTAGAATTCATTATTTACCATCTTGTAATTCTGAACTTAGCCCAACCGAGGATTTTTTTTAAAAACAATTATCATCCCCAGTATCGATAGACAAGATGCGATTCAGGTCATAAACGAGATGATAATAGACTAATTCATTAAACTATGATTCTACAAATTTTTATTCAAAAAATGCAGCCATTTGTAAACTTACCTAGTAAATTTCACACGAATATCTTTGATATTGGAATAATTTCTTACCATCAGCTTACACAAAAAGACCAATGTTATTTTAAAAGCTCTCCTCAGCAATTTTTAAAAATATGGATATAGAACCCAATAATACTGATCCAACAATAAGCTTATTATTAGAGATGTACCGATATTTATTATCGAGTCGGGCCGATATTTCACCCTTTAAAAATATCGGTCATTGGTAGATATAAAAAAATTCCGATCCGATAAAATGGATTTCAATTTTCATAATATATTTGTTTATTACTAATTATGAAGTAGGTGAACTTTATTATATAAATTTATCAATAAAAATATTTTATATTTTTTAGGACCCATGAATATAAACTATAAATGATCATTATAATACATTTAAATGACTTGATGTTACTATTAAAAAATATATAAGATGAGTAAATCCATGTAGTGATGCAAAATCATTCCATTTGAGCCCATTTTTTAAAAACTAAATATATTAGGCAGAAAAATATCGCCTGAGCCTCGAGATTTCGATAATAGTTGTCCAAGCTTTTGTGCCATCTATGAGAAAAATCTTCAAACATTGAATTATCATTTTTTAAAAATTGGTTCAGATGTAACGATTTTGCAACACTAGATGTATGTATTAAAAATTAAAACGATTAGTATGTTTACAGAATACAAAATCAGACATGATATCGGATCGATAATCGACCAGTATAAATTTAATATCGGATCGGCCTCCAAAAAGTGGTATAGTTACACCCCTACATCTTACTATATTACTTATGATTTGTTCTATATGGGTTAGGGTTAAGTAAAAATAAAATGTTTTGTTTTGGTCAATAAAAATGCTGAACAAAAATTAAAATACTTTGACGGTTCCATCATATGAGGCAGTCATTATGCATTCGCCAGCTGGTTCTATAAAATAGTATAAATATAAAATCTTTAAAATACACTAATTAAGCTTTTTAAATTGTAAACATTCTATTTTATATCCCCATCGTTGTTTGTTATTTTGTCAGATGATTTTTACAATTTGGTGATAGAATTTCATTAATCCCAGGGCAACCAAGCTTGACCCTACCCTGCATTCCTCTAAATTCACTGATGCCTTTTACCATCCAGAGCATCATATAATTTTAATAACTGATACTGTTCTAACTTGAAAATAGTAAAAAATATTGGTAATTTTACTGGCTAAAAATAAGAACAAATTAAAATATCCCTTTTAATGTGTCAAGAGTATAAAATAATTAAATATGTAACCGCATAATTTATGGGAAATATAAGGAATGAAGGGTGTAGTCACGATTAAAGGCAAATGTCTAAGTTAAAAAGGATAAATAACTCCGAAGAATTTTTTTTAAATGAACATAGACAATTAATTTTTAATACTTTTTCTCAGATAATAAAATATTGCATGTAATATGTTTTATAAATTTATTAAAATAAATTCTAATTTGTCCTCTGCACAGAAAGATTAAGAAGGCTCATTGATGGTGCCATGCACAGATATAATTTATTAGTATCACCTTCTTAATTTATATACATTGGTAATATAAGAATAAATTAATTATACTAAACTCATAAATTTGACTTTGGACACAAGATTTTGATGGGCAGGAATGGTGTACAAGCATTTTCTCTGTCTCAAATCCCAGATTTTACACGTATTATCCTGGCTTCCGGTTATTAATTGAAAGCTAGATATGTTAAATTTAAATAAAGAAAAATATAACAAAAAAGAGATAAGAAAAAAAGAAAGCAAAGAGTGGGTAAATTCAATTACATGAAATATTGAAAGATCATACGATCAAAAACTAAATAAAATGTGGTGTCACAACCCGTCATACTTAATTCTGAAAAGAGGCAATCAATCCAGAAAAGAAGCAAGAACACCCGTTTTTCAGATATAGATCATTTTGGCATAAGGTGATTATGACAAGCGTATTTTTTTTTCTTATATGTTTTAGTCTAAAACTATATTCTACTTAGACAGAATTTTAGAACCTTAAACAGAAAAGAGAAAAAAAAATTAAGCAATTATCTTTTTAAGTTTTTTTATTGCTTGCATAATTAAAAACTTTATAACCTAATATTTTTAAGTATTTAAATTTTTTATATTAGAACCATGCAAATATTTTAAAAAACACATATAATCCTGTCAGGAATCGAATAAAAGAACAAAAGAGTAATAATAGCTACCCACCAAATATTTTTAATTTATTGATCTCGATCTTTTTGTAAGTTGATATTGTGATAATAATTTTTTAGGTTTAAAAAAATATATAATTAATTATCGATCCTATGATGTAATCCCCCCCCCTTAATTTTTCAAACATTTTTTAATTAAACCTTTCAATACTTTATTTCGTTTATCTGTATTAAAATAGAATTCATTCCACCTAACGCCCATTTTAATATCTTATATAGTCAACCAGAGTTGTTAAAGAATAGAGATCAAAGGATCGACGATTTTGGATTCGATCCTAATTCAGACAATTTACTTGGATTTCTGATTATCTCCTTATTGAGAATGATGATCGAGATCATTTTGTTCAATCGATCCTTTAAAAAATTTATTTTTTAAATCACTATCTTTATCATATTTTATTTATATAAGAACATTTTAACTTTTCTTCAGCTCTCTAGGTATTATACCTTATAGAAACGGGTGGAATTCAAAATATTTAATTTTAAAGTTATTACTATTAATCACTATACAATGATCACTGCTACATGTTGCTAATGTAAAAGGAACATATCTTCAAAGGTTAGTATAACCTCGAAATGCACCTAAAAGTAAGTTATTATTAACTAATTGCCCTGAATTCCTGGATTACAAATAATTTTAAGAGACGGGAAAGTCAGGATAGGGATGGGCGAGGAAGCGTCCCGTAGGCATAGCGTCTATGTGACGCATCCCATCCTAAAAATTAAAGATGAAAAAGAGATTTGACCTTCACTATTCGTTTTGACGGTAAGATAATTAGAACAATAAAACATACCAATAAAAAATATATATTTATTTAGCTGATCAGAAAATAAGATAAATTATAAATAAAATCGATAGATATTTGATACCCATTGGGATGCCAATCGATGGAGTATATAGGCTTTAAGTGATCTTCCATAAACATAATGCAATGGCCTGTTCGCAAATCCCAAACTCTGCCATATGTATCCAAACTCCTTATGGTACATTTAATATCGTATATACAATACAATTACAAACTATATAATAAAATTATTATAAGTTAAAAAGAACAAAATTGGAACTTATATTATATTGGTGTTGCAACGAAAATCATATATTTAAAAATTTTTTTAACCCTGTAGCAGCTAAGGAACCGTCTATTTGAAATGCTATATCGAAAACCGCATCGGAATGCCCTTCTTGATATAATATTTCTTCTCGATTCTCTAAATCCCATAATCGCCATGTGTTATCAAAGCTAAAAATTATTTAAGTATTTTAAATCTTTTATGTAAAAAATCAGGCCGAGCGTCAATTTTTAAATAAATATTATATCGATTGCTAAGTTTGAAAATCATATAATTGATCATTAATACCACTTATACTTCATAGTGAAAATAGAAAGCCAGAACATTAAATTACTATGCCTATTATAATGATCACAAGTTTTTATTCTTTAAACAAAGTTTCAAAATTGTATCTCCCAGAGAACGAGATAATTTAAAACGTAAGAAAAATTATAACATTTCTGAGACCCAAAATCAAACTTGGAAAGGGGTGTCAAGGAAATTTTGAAAGTTTTGTGAGAAATTTTGAAAGTTTTATATCATAACTGTAGTCCATATTGTGTCTTATTAAAATTTGTAAATTTAATATACTATATATTATTGTATTGATTAAGATTTACCAACAAGTGGCTAAAAATCTCCCGGAAGGATGGAATTGCAATCTTGATACCCGATAAGGTTCGTGGCCTTCTAGTTCGTGGATACACTCGTCCCTAAAATAATCAATCATAATATTTATGGTTTAAAAGGAGAAATTAAAAAATTTCATAATTTTTTTATTAGCTGTAAGACAAAATATTCCATATTCAATGGACTTAACGAATTAATGTTCCATAATTTGACCGTTCCATCATGGCCACAGGAAGCCATGTGAGCTGTATCGTGCAAGTCATCTCCAGTTTTTGCAATAATATTTCCTTCTTGGTTATAATCATCGTACCTTTTATATTTCAAATGAGCTTTATAAAAAAATATAGTGCACATATATAGAATCTTGGTAGGTGAGTAAAATAAAAGTACACATAAAAATCACGAGTTTTATAATTAAAATGAAGGCATATATTTATTTATCTTCCTATGCATGTAGAGAACCTTATATATCATCAAATATATCATAGATATTAAAAACTGCGATTTATCGTTAATTTATCTTTATAATTTAATATAATTTGATAAGAAAATTATTCCTATTATTAGAGATGTAAATTTCCCGGGAAAATTAGTTCAAGGGAAATTTCCCCCAGAAAATTGGGGAAAAAAGGGAAATAACGGGAAATTAAAAAATAGTCACAAAATACACTTTAAACATTTCAATTTTTTTCTATTGAATAGCTTTATTAAATTTGGGGAACTTAGGTAAAAATAATTAAACAATAAAGACAAAATAACACTGTACACATTTCATTATTTTATTGAATAACTTTATTAATTACAAGAAGCATGTATTATAAATTACATTTAATGGGTGCTAATAAAATAGCATCAACATCTTCATGGGATACAATTGAAATATCATCATCACTCTTTATAAATCCGAATCTAAACTTTTTTGATGATATCTCGAACTTATGTATTTGTGTGATCCTTTAAATGTATGTTATGCCTGATTGATATTAATTTTTCGACTCTTTCAATTTATTATTCTATTTCTCGTTTTTGAATGAATTTTTCCAAATACTGACCAGTTTCTTTCAGACAAGGTACTTGAGTGTGGTATCGAAAGGCATCTTACTGCAACTTGACAAAGGGGTTGATTCGTACATAACTCTTTCCACCATAGAGTGGTTTGGTATGGATCGAACTCTCCCATATGCTAGCTCCTTTATAGAAACCTTATTTTGACGATATTCTGCCAAATTATGCATAATTTTTCCAATATCGCAATTAATTTGACTGAAATAATATTTACCAAATTTAAAGCTACTGTAATTCGTGGCCTGTTAATTTCACGCCATAATATCTAGGATAGAGAAGATTTGTTGCCTAATGATATTCTCGGCAGCGTTTATTAATATGTATCTTAACACTTTTCAAATCATTTTCATTAAAAATAAAAGTTGATGAATTGAGTTTATCTTTTATATCCCAAAATATTTCTGGTACGACAGATAATACAACTGTATCCGATTCTACAATTATAATTTTGTTATAAATAAATTTCAAAAAGTCAGTACAGATTCTAATTTATCCCAGTTGTCCAATATAAAACAGTGTTTGTTTATAAATAAACTTGAAATTGCAATTTCTAGCAAAACTTCCTTATTTTTCACAACACTTTGCAACATTATAACAAAATCTCCCCATCTTATCAGACTTGGAATTTTAAAGGAAGATTTATATACTTTTAATATTTGCCTTTCTTTAAAAGTTGCCAATAAAATACCATTAAATTTTATATATTTAATTATTTGTTTGGTTTTTATGATGATCTGTTCAATAAAACGTATTTGGTATAAATCTTTAATAAGCAGATTCAAGCCATGTGTAAGCATTCTATATAATTATAATTTCCCTTAACAAGACTTCAGGCCTTTTTCTTATTCTTTACAATATCAGTTATTAGTGAGATGAATTTTTTTACTACCAATTTCTTCAATTACCTCGATAAGTTCAGATGCAATATAATCACGAGTAGTGATGTAAAGGTAATGAAATTTCCAGGGAAATTTACAGAATTTTCCCTTAATATAAATACAATATTTTATTGCAAAAATTATGATTTATAATTTAATTTATTATATCATAAATTTAAAAATAATTATTATTTTCAGTCTTTAAACTTATTTTTTTATTGGTGCAACCATTGAGTGTAACTCCTCAAATCTAATATTTTAAAAGTACAAAAACAAAGGTAAAATCTTAAACATTATATTCTCATACATATTATTAATATGATATATTATAGAATTATTAATATGATATATTATAGAATTATTAATAATTAATGATATATTTAGATTTAGGATCATTAAATTTTAATCAGACTATATAACTGGTATAATAATTTATTGATGTTTAATTTAAATTAATATGATTGCAATATTTTATTGATGCCTCGGAAAACTTCCAACATTTATTAAAGATACAAGGGTATTTATCAATATGAAAATATTGTCAATTGGCATATAATTTCCTAAATTCAATGGATTTAAAGATAATGGGTTCTGGAGTCATAATTATGAAATTAATGATATACTCTTTAAGAATGTTTGTCCAGTCATCGTTAATGAGAGTAAAATCTTTTAGAGTATCGAATTTGTTGTTGATAATATTTGTCTCTTTATTATATTCAAAATCTAATAATGTTTTACTAATTGTATATCTAGATGGAATTTTATAGGCTGTGCACATTAATTTTAAAAATGATAAAATATTCATTTTCAACTAAATGAAAGGGACAATTTGATATAAAAATAGCTAAAGCCAAAGAACTGTCAAGTAGTGTTTGATTTTTTTCAGTTATAGTGTCAAAAAAATTTTGAATTTTAGATGTGTAAAATTATTAGTATTTTCTTTAAAAGTATTTAGAATGATTTTTATGTTTTTTTTGGATCTTATTTTATTAGGATTACTGGAATCTGGTATACATACTACAATATCCTCTTCAGTAGAATTAATATTATCAACTTCATTAAATTGTAAACTATAATATACCTTTTACATTTTTTGAATGCTGAGATATTTTTGTTGAATTTGGGAATATATGTCAAATAACAATATTTACATATTGATATATACCCTTCCTTGTTATAAGCTGTATCTTTAATAAAATGTTTCCAGATGTTAGAAATTTTTCGAGGCATCTAAAAAATATTGCAATCATATTAATTATTAATTTAAATTAAACATCAATAAATTATTATACCAGTTATATAGTATGAGAAAAATATAATGATGCTTATATATCAAATATAACTAAGTATTATATGAGAATGAAATGTTTAACATTTTACCCTAGTTGTACTTTTAAAATTATAGATTTGAAGAGTTGCACAAAAAAAAGTTTAAAGACTGAAAATAAAAATTATTTTAAAATTTATGATATAATAAATTAAATAAATTATAAATCATAATTATTGAAATAAAATATAAATCATAATTTTTTCAATAAAATATTATATTTATTAGTGAAGGTCACGGTCCGGTCTTTGGTCCGGACTGGGCCGATATCCTCGGACCGGACCGGACCACGGTCCTTAAAAAAAGATCGATCTAGACCGTGGTCCTAAATAAAAAACATATTTTTTTAACCTAATTTAATTTTTTTATTATTTTATTAAATATAAGATTATATAAACAATATAAAATTAATTATGAATAATATAATAATTAATACAAATATTTAATTTAAATAAATGCTAATGTCTTTGTTTGTAGAACTTCCTTGGAAGGAATTAGAAGAGGGACTTAATGGAGGCGGTAGATCTATTCCATTCTTTAAGCAAGAGCCCATACACATCAAAGCTTCTATTGTTTTGTTTGAAAGCCTATTCCTTTTTTTAGTGACAAGATCTCCTGCTTTAGAAAATATTTGTTCACAGGGGACAGATGTTGTTTGAATTGCTAAAAAATTTCTAGCTGCTAATGAGAGGACTGGAAATCTATATAATAAACTATATTGACTATTTAAAAAATATAAAAGACCTTTCACTATTGGCTTTCCACCATACTAGTATGTCATCCTTTAATGAAACAAGAGGTTCATTCAAATAGGTGTGAAGTTCTGATATATTTTCTTCAATGATTTCTGCCGATATATAATCCCCTTCTGAATTTCTTTTTTGGGATAAAATTCTTTCTAAAAAACTAAATTCATTGATTTCCTCCTGGCACAAAGTTTGAAAATTAGGATTTAATAAATAAATATTAAAAATATACCTGAGAATCCGTTATTCCTGTATTTTTTTTATTTTCTATTTTCCTTAAATATTTTGAAAATTTGGTCATCAATTCTATTAAGAGTATTAGGCATGTAAACTTGTTTTAATCTCGGATTCAATGATGTTGAGACATTTGATTCATAGCAAAATAATTCTTTGAGATATTTCTGCATTTTAACCAGCATGTTATTAAGAATTTCTTTTCTTGTATTGTTATTATCCTTTTTTATATTATTTAAAATTTCATTATTTATATTCTCCATATATAACATGGAAATCCCAACTGTAGGATATTTGGATCCTGATAAATCAAGTGTGGTTTTATAGAAGGGCCTTAAAAAATCTACAGTCTCTTTTCTTTTTCACACTCAGTAAAGAAAACCCCTTTAAATTGTTTGTAATTCAAAAAAAGTACTTCTTCCATAGCATCCATGTTCTAAAAATTAAATATTTTTTAAAAATAATTGGATAAAAATGTAAATACCTCATAAATTATATTCATCATTAAATAGGAGCTATTCCATCTAATAGGGATATCAGAAAGGATTTTAAATTTTGTAATACCCTTATTTTCACATATTTGTACATATGCTTGATTTATTTTGGGTGATTTATTTATAGAAAAGGCTATGTCTCTACACTTTTCTAGGATAGTTGTAATATATGATAAACCTTCTTGAGATATTAGGTTTAGAATATGGGCACAGCATCTAAAGCCTTTAAATTTTTGTTCCTTATAAATATTCTGCAAAATATCCGTGCTTTTTAGGATGTTATTAGCATTATCTGTAGTACAGGTCAGTATATTCTCCTCCAATTGATATACATCAATTACTTCTTTTATAGCTAAGGATATTTCTTCAGAAGTATGAGGAAATGGGATATGATTTATATCAGGTAATATTTTTTAATGTAAAAGAAGAATCAATATAGTGTGCAGTAATGGCTATAAATGAAATTTAGTTTATATTGCTCCACATATCTGTGGTAAAGCTTATTAAAGAATTATTTTTATTTAAAATATCTTTTAGAGAATTTCTTAGTTTCTCAAAATTAGCTGTATAAAAATTTTTAACTTTGTTTTTTGACCAAATTGTAGCAGTTGAGTTTAAATATTAGATTAAATTATGAAGACCTGAACTTTCAAAAGTCTTCATTGGCAGAGAGTCCATTATTACCCATTTTATAATAAGTTGGTTCATATGATCTGTTTGGAATTTATCCAATGGTATTGAAGAAAGTGATTTTGTACTTGTGGAGGGCATATTTAAATTAAGAGTAGATTGTGTTTTTGAGATATTTTCATTATTAGAAGTATAAATTTTATGTTTTATCAAATGTCTGCTTAAGGTACCTAATTATTTTATTAAGAATAAGGTTAAATTATTTTGACAATTAATTATTCAGACAGTTTCTTAAGAAAAAATAGATATATAAATAATAACCAAAATATTTTAATAATAATACTGCTTATTTTGATTAACTTATTGCTTAAAAAATTATAAACAATTATTTTGTTACTTGTTGCTGACGATATGTTAAATTTGGTATTACAGTGAACACATATTCTATGTTTTTTATTAGGACTATAAGTAAAATGTTTCTTGGACAAACTTATGGTTTTCATATTGTAAAAAAAAAATTAACAAAATCTAAAATAACTCCTCTAGAAAAATATCATAAAATAAAATATACAAAAAAATTATATTAATTGAATAGTAAAGTAAACTTAAATATTAATAAAAGACCGGTCCAGACCACAGTCCTCAACAAAAAGATTGGTCCGACAATCGAACCTTCACTAATATTTATATTAAGAGAAAACGTGAAATTTCCCAAGAAAATAAGTAATTTTCCAGGAAAATATGAAATTTCCCTACCTTTACATTTCTATCTATATATATATATATATTAGAATAATGAATGAAATAATAAAAATATAATAATAATAATACATTTTGATTATAAATTACTCAGAAATAATAATTTTAAAAAAGTGTGACCTTAAGATATGTTATATAAATAAAAAAATTATATAACTTTATGTCAGGTCTAAATTTTACGCAACCAACATTCGTAGCATGCCCTTTAAAAGTTCGAAGTAAGGCACAATCCTTAGCCCTCCAAAGCTTACAGAGTCCACTCCAGGAAGAAATGGATAGCAGAGTTCCATCTGAGGATAGATCGCAGGATGAAAGTGGGCGATGGTCACCAATTTGAGTGAATAGGAGGGAAAAGGACTTTTTTAAAAAAAATATTTTAATGAATATTAATAATTTTGAGTAGGAATTTAATTTTTTTAAATATCATATTGGCATGATCATTTATTTGTTGGAATATGGAAAAATTAATTTTTAAAATGGCTAACCCAATATTTAAACCAAAAAATATTATGCAAGCTTGGAGATTTTGCTCATAGATGGCAGAAGCGTTCGGACATCTATTAACAAAATAGCGAGGCTTGTGTATTATTCTTTTGGTTAAAATCTTAATTTAAAATTGATGAAATCAAGCCTCAACAACACTAATTTTAATTTGTTTCGTAATTAGTCAGTGTTTTCTCCATAGTTCCCATTTACATCTCAACATATACAATTTTTGAAAGAGGGGCATTCCATTATAACAAAAAAGGGCCGTTTTGAAGACATTTTTGAAATAAAATATTTTAGATAGTTGTTCAGGAAGAGTGCCACAAGCAAATAAAAATATAAAATAAAAGGGATAAAAAATTTAATTTAGTTACCATAATAGCATTACAAAGTTTTATTGTTATTTTTCATTAAGAACTATAGTTAGTAATGGTACTTTTACTGAATTCAATGTTTAAAAAATAAGCTTACATTTATTTTTTTGTGAATTTCCTGTTTTCGAGCTGTCCTTTGAGTTTCCGTGATTTGTAAATCTATTCTAGCCTGATTCAATCTTTCTTTGGCTCTGTAAACATTTATAAATTGATGATTTGATTTAGTCGATTAAAAATTTTATTATATTACGTTGGTAATGAATATTTAGCTATCCAAAGTCTAGCAGCCTTCAGTAAGGTTGGTCCTTCATGATACCATGTTTCATTCTATAAAAAAATATATAACATTAGCCTAATATAGCTTAATGAAAATAAAATAACATTGCTACTCTTTAAAAAAAAATTAGGCAGCTTCCATTTGAAAAAGTAACACATAAATTAACTGAATATTTTATTATTTTAATTTAATCATTTTTGTTTTTAGATCTCATAATTATATTTAAAAAAATATGTATAAAAAACAAATATACCTATATGGAATTGTAAATTAAATAAGAATAACACTTTAATTAAAATTATTGTACTTATAATTAGATTAACGAATAATTTTTTACTAGATGTAGTGCACTAAAGCTATAAAAAATATTCAAATGCTCTAACAAAAGCAATAAAAAGATTAGCTTACAAATTTAACAACACTACATTATAGTGCAACATAATTGAGCATTTTTGAATTAATGTTTATAATGTGATCCATTTTCACAATACCATTTTAAATGTATTGTTTGTGACTTAGGGTGTGCACTATTGGATCTAATTATTGTAGAACTTTGGGTGTAGATTTCAAGTTTTCTCTTTTTCTTATTAAAATAATTTTTTTCAATATATTTTAAATATGACTATTATTTTGAAAAATATTAATTTTAACTAATTTTACTTTTAAATTAATGTTCATAGTGACAATTAGGAAAGAGATGTGGGTGGAATTTTTTATTAGTTTAATTTAAAATGATATTTGTGAAAAAGGTAAATTTACAGAGGGGAGAAACCCACCTTGTTATGCATATGACTCAACTTTTATAAAAATTTTATTATAAAAGAATGAAGCTATATTAACAATTTAATAATTTAATTGTATATAAATATAATTGAAAACTATAAATAACATGCTATACATCTGGAATATCAGATCTTTGATTTGATGAATCACTTTGAGAATGGAATGCCTCTTTTAATTTTGCAATAACATCATCACCTAAAAGTGACAATATTTGTTTCAACCTTTCTCTTCTTTCTCCTGGGCCTTCTCCAAACACACCTATATATTATAATATAATTATAGGCTATGATATTAAAAATTGCTTACAAACTGGTTTTTTAAGTTTTCTCAAATATGATCTAACTTCTGCATCTTCTGTAGTTAAATTTAGTTGCCTCGCCTAATATTATAATCTACAAAAAAAAATTAAAGAATTTACTCTTTTTCGTCTTTCAAATTCAGCCAAAATAGCTTTTTGATTGTCTGATGGATGAACAGCATTTAATGGGATAGTATCTCCTATTAAGAAAATAAAGGATAGATTATAATATATTTTTACCTTGTGTAAGATTTATATTTCCGGCTTTAATGCCTAATTTAATATCTTCATCAGTCGATCCAGAAATAATTCTGAGAGCCTCGTGCTCTGCTAAGCTTCCATAATGAATTTTAGGTGGATTCAATTGTTGACGTTCCATAGAAAAATGCACTAAATTGATGACATGTCTTGCAATATAAGACAGATTACAAATATGAAGCAAACAGTGCTTATTAAATTATGTTTTTTATATTTCATTATTTCAAAAATAAAAATAAGAAAACTTAAGAGCATTAACAATGATATATCATGATATCATTTTGGTTCACGCAAATATAAATTTAATTGAGTCTGTATTTATCACGAGTATTAATCATTTTTATAAGAAAATTCTTAAGATAGAAATCAGTATAAGAAATTTCTTTGTTAAATTTTAAGTATATTTAATTAAGATATTTACTCATTTATTTTATATATAATAGATAATGAAGGAAGATGAGATATAGTTTGAGATAAATGTTTTAAGAACTGTAAACGATATTGATTTTAATGATATTTAAGACAGAAGAAGAGGAAACAATGAAGTCAGAGTTCAACAAAGTACATTTATAATTTATCAATTTCTAACTAAACTTTGAGAGATAGATATTATGAAAGTAAAAAGGTTAAGAAAAAAAAAAGTAAATCAATTTATATAAAAGATATTATTATTTAAAATAAAATAAACTATATGTGAGGTTGAATAGGGAAATGTGAACTATCATAGTAATTGTTTTTTAATATAATTAAAAACAAAATTAGATATAGGCATTGAATTTGATGAGAATGCTGTGGCAAATCTGATTGTTGGTAACAATTCATGTATTGTGTATTAGATAATGAATGACTTGTAGAACAAAGTAAATTCATTATCTAATACATAGTACATGAATTGTTCTATTTCATAATTATTTTAATATCAGATTTCATAATCATAATTTATTCATATACCTTAAATGCATTTTCCAAATTAAGTTTATTACCAACCATAATTTTATCATATTTTGCAAATACTACTTATTATATTTTATTGGCTTAATTCTGATTCACAAAATTATCTTTATCCATATTAATTTCATGAAATATCCAAGACATTAATGTTGCTCAAACAAATATCACAATACAAAGTAGTTTACACTTAATCTCATTTTCTAATCATTCCCCTTAATTTATACAAAAAACATCCAATAGATTAATATTATAGGTTCTTTATCCCAACCTCGTCGCCAATTTAATATAAATAATTCTGTCATAATATCTATTTCCCCAATTTAATACAGTGATTCTCAGACATACAATATAAGCGATTCAGTCATATCATATTTTTCATCAAAATTTCATAATATTGATTGGTGATGAGCCGCCAACAGAGTTAAACCCTTCTCGGTAGGTAGAATTACAGTGTCAATTTCTATATGTATTTTCTCATCTGTTTTGTCATATAATATTCTTAGACTTTTTCCATACACCTTTCCTGTTACTTCAAGAACTTTAAACATTTTTATACTATCAATTTCATATTTTTACAATTTCAATTAGTTTTTTCTTTAAAAATATATCTTTATGATCTTTAATTCCTTTAGGATCCCCGATTTTTTTGTCCCCATTTCTATTCCTGATTGAACTTATTTCTTTATTAATCCGCCCCCTAACTTTATCCTTACGTCTGTCTGCTAATATTACAAGAGGGCACATTCTTATACATTTATGTATAAGAATATTCTCCATAAAACCTTTTATAATATTAATCCCTAGAGTTCTATTAAATCTATTAGAATTAATAGTATCCTTTATTCAAGCATGCGTGTATATATCTCTTATTTCATTATATATTAGAGAATCTTCTAATTCCTAAATATATAATCTCATGATAAAAAATCTTTTGTATATTATTAATCCATCATTTTGGCCATTACTAGGCTCACTCTCGGCACTAGGAGCAATAGCAGCTTTATTGGGTGTAATATGAAAAACTTCTAATAATATTATTTTTGTCCTTTTTGCAGTTGTAGCTATAATAATAACTTTTTATATGTGAGGAAAGGACCTACAACGTGAATCCTCTATATCAGGGGAAATATTATCAACGATCTCTAAAAGTTTAGGATTCTCTTTTATTCTATTCATTGTCTCAGAGATAATATTCTTTGTCTCATTTTTTTGGGCCTACTTTCGCTTTAGACTTTGCCCTGATTCGGAGATCGGGAATAACTGGCCCCCTATAGGAGTAATACCTATTCCCTTTTTTGAAACCCCGCTGATAAACACTATTATTTTATTAATAAGAGGAATTTCAATCACTTGAGCTCATCACTCATTTTTTGCAGTGAAAAAATCCAGCTCAGTGTTATACCTCATTGCCCTCACAGTAATTTTAGGGTTATACTTTACATACCTTCAAGTTGAAGAGTACTTCCAATCACCTTTTTCAATTAATGACTCTTGCTTTGGAAGAGTTTTTTTCGTGGCAACAGGATTTCACGGGTTTCATATCATTATCGGGTCCATTTTTCTTCTATCTGTAACCCCTCGAATCATAATGGGGTTAATCTCAATACTAGATATGCTTCATTTTGAATTAGCAGCCTGATACTGACATTTTGTTGATGTTGTGTGACTATTTTTATACCTGTGTTTGTACTGATGGGGGGATTAACCCGCCCCCGCCAATGCGTGTAAAGTTTTATACACCTAACTATTTTAGTATAATTAAGTACATCTAATTTCCAATTAGAAAGAAATTAAAATAGTATACTACAATGCTTCATTCTACTATTTTAATTTCTTTATCCTTACTAATCTCTTACTTTCTGTTCAATCTATATAAAATTTTATTTACACCCACGAAATTAAAAATTAATTCCTTTAGATCATCATTTGAGTGTGGGATTGACACTTTTGGTATATCCCGAATACCTTACTCCTTAAAATTTATATATATTACAATTTTATTTATTATTTTTGATCTTGAGATCGCTATCATCGTATTACCACTAATGAAATCTTTTAATGAGATCAATTTTTCAGTTTTAATACTTTTAGTATTAATTGTAGGTATTACTATGGAGTGAATCTATAACAATATTAATTGATACAAGTAAACATCTTGTTAAACTGGGGTATACTATAATACTTTGCATGTATTGTTTTAGAAAAATTTCTAATACTCCAAAATTCTAAGATCTAAAATTTAGACTCTTTTATAGACAACATTTAACGTGTCCTTAGTTTTAGGTAATTTAAAATCTGAATACTTAATTGTTACTTAAGACGTGATTACTCTCCCTAAAAGAATAATATTATAATAATTATTCTATAAATTGGTAATTTATATCTATAGAAAATTTTCTATAATATTCTATTCAATGATATACTTCGCACATAATTAGATTAATCACAGGACTAATCATAATTAAAATTTTAATAAGCTTCCCTTTAGTTATTAAAATACTTCTATTTATAGAAATATTATCAATTATAGGTATTTTAATAGTCTTTAATAACTACATAGGAACTTCTTTATCTATTATTTTTCTTTTATTTATTTTAATTATAATAATTATCGAGGCAACCATATCTCTTACCATACTTATTAACTTATCAAAAAGTTCCACTTTTTTCATAGTGTCTTCATCCTTTCTATAATAATTATAGAAAGGATGAAGACACTATAAATGATAGTATCCCTCCTCTTAATAACCCCATTTATTGGGTTTCTGTCACACTTACCTATTTTAACAATAATGACAGGGATATTACTAGTATCCCTGTCATTAAACTTTGGTTCCTTGTCAAACATAAACTTATGGTCCAACACGATAATAAATTTAGATTCATTAAATATTTTATTTACTTTAATATTTATTATTTCTATCGTAGTTATCATTTTCATTATATCCTTAGAATCTGAGATGTTTAAACTTTTAATTATAAAAATTATTCTAGGTATAACTATAGTTATACTTCTAGTACCTCTAATTAATAAAATTCTTTGATTTTTTATTTTTTTTGAGACATCCCTAATTCCGATCATGATGATAATTTGAGGTTGAGGTTCAGGGACAATAAAAGAAAAAGCAGCGGCGTTGTCTGATAATTTGAGAGGTTGAGGTTCAGGGACAATATTCCTTATCATTTTGGCATTTTTAGTAAAATTACCTATTTACATTTTTCATCTCTGACTTCCTAAGGCTCATGTAGAAGCGTCGACATCAGGATCCATATTACTAGCGGGTTCCCCGGCTATGGGGGATAATTATGTCTAGAATCGGGATATCATTTAGAAATAAAAATCATAATTGCTTACTCTAGTGTATCTCATATAACTTTTCTTGCCATTAGAATACTTCTAATATCTTTCATTTCACTAGAAGGATCTATCTCAATAAGTGTATCCCACGGATTTATTAGACCTTCCATATTCCTTATTTTTTATTTAATATATAATAAAATATCTACCCGTAATATAATTTTAGTTAAATCTCAAATAAATATAAAATCTTTATATGCCACATTAATTCTATTTATAATTTTAATATTCAACATTGGGTGCCCGCCATCCTTTAATCTATTCCCAGAAATTATTATTATTTATAATTTAATAAATTTTTCTTATTTATTTATATATCCTATTATTCTTAATACAATTATCTTAATTTTAATTTCTAGTTTTATTTTTACTCGTATTTCTATAGGGGTAAAAAAGGCAGATGTGTCTTCATCCTTTCTACAGAGATCTTTTACCCCCCTTTTTATTTTTTTATTTATATCCTTAATCATATGGCAAGGGGCTGACTATATTATTTGTGAGTTAAATTTAAACTGTGACTTTAATAAAGATATTTATATAAATATCAACTCACAATAAATAAAAAAATAAAAAGGGGGGTATTCAAGAATAAATTGTTGGTTTGTATAGTTATAATATTTATCTTTATAACTATACAAACCAACATTATAACTAGACTGTCAACAAAATTATCGTATAATTTAATTATACTAAAAAATATAAGATTTGAATTTGATTTTTTATTTGACCCTTTCTCTGTATCCTTTATTTTTATTCTTACATTAATCTCATTAAATGTATTAGTATATAGATTTTATTACATACTAGAAGATGTAAATAAACTTTTT